AGTTCCATGTAGCAAGATCAGGCCCAGAGGTGTATAATGCCGTTCCTTCATTTTCAGCCTGTATGTTTTATTTTCTCCCTTTTCAGCATTTGATGGTCTTTCCCTTACGCCAGCCACATACGCAAAACACAGGGGGGGGAGGAAAGAGTTGCACGCATGGTTTGCACCTTGAGATCATGCTATTGAAGATATCCGAGGGGTACTGTAAGAAAACCCCGGTGAAATTGTAGCATATGATATCGGTATGTTTTGTTTTCTTTCATTCTTTCCTTGGGGGGATTTGAAAAGGATAAAAAATAAAAAAAAAACAATAGAATAAGATCAACTAGCATATCCCCCGCCCAAATCCCCTTGTAACAAACTGGCCGGCAGCTGACATGGAGACCCCTGATCCACATCCATTGGGTCCGACCGATAACTGTCAATCACAGCCGCCCTGCCTCACACAAGCCAGAAACAAACTAGCGACGCCGAAAGGAGCCCCTGTTGAAAGCCGAGACAGAATGAAGCGGCCATAGGTATGAGGGTACGTCACCGTCACAAGCCCCTGCCGAGGGCGTTCCTGGGAAATCATGTGATGTGCTCTCGTGACCTTTGCCACTCGTAAGAAAAAAGCACATTGGAATATGAGGAATTACATACTAAAATTACTAGAATTACTAGTACAGTGACTTAGTAATTCCACTCAAGTGCTGGTTACCCGTGGGTATTGTCAGTATCGGATACCTACAAGCGTTGCAGTTCCCGTAAACCCCGTTACTTAATCTATTCCGAGGCAATTTCCGAGACGAACTTGAGTCAGCTGTTCCCATCTGATCCCACGCCATGCATGGCAAAACACCGGCATTTGTGGCGGCTCTTCCTGGTACACCGATCTAGTGCTTTGGGGGGTTACAGGTGACTCGATGCAAATCTTAAAAAAAAATAAATAATAATACACGTACAGATGTCGCCTCGGCACTCTAATAATTATTCCGTCAATAGAGCCTCGGTTAAATTAGTGGAGACGTGACGACTAGCAAAATCCAAAGATGTGATTCGATTTCCCCGGAATCCTGAAGGACTACTCCGTAGGACGGATTATACTAGTACAGTTAGTAACATTTGAACAAGGGTAAATTGTACTAGTATTGAATGTCTAGATTTGATAATGTGATCCATAATCTGGTGTGTATTACCACTACGGCTTATTGGTGGAGCTCCGTCGGGCCAGCATAATGAATGTGTCTCGAGTAATTAATTCCAGCTTTCAGGTCTCCGCCTTTGGTATCACCCGAAATAAAGAAACCGGATGGGTAAGACTGAGACAGGAGACCGAAGTGATCAATTTCTGAGGCCATCAATGGCTGTAAAGGAATCCCTTCAAGATGACCTCAAATATTAAATCAATTGATAGGAACCGTTGTGCAAGAGTTGTGTCAACCTTGGAAGAGCGGGTCAGCAGCGATCACCCTCCAAACCCAAAAGTCATGCTGCACAAGTGGGCCTGGCAAAAGAGAGAGAACAGAAGATGATTTGCATGCTGTAGGTGATATTGGCGTGGTTGTAGTCGTACATCTGCAGGGAATAGTCCTGTTACAACCAGCGAACTGTTTCAATCGAATCAGAAGATGAGAGCTGTAATTTTCTGATATACGTATACGCTATTTTTTTTTGGTGGCTTTTTCCCCCTTTCTCTTTATGTTGCTTTTCTTCTAATCCTTATTTTGTTTTCTCTGAACTGTAGAAAATCCCGAGCCGTCAAGAACGAGGGTGACTGCCGATATCAAACGACCAACGAGAGAGACTCAAGTGGAGTCGGTGGGTTTTCTCTCTCTTCTTTGCCTCCTGGAGTCACTGGGGCTGACCGACATACAGTACATATTACGCATCCCCGCAATTTCGTGATTACTACTATTCCGTACTCCCCACACCCCGGTCCACCCCAGAAATCAACCAAACCATGGAAGAAAGAAAAATAAAAGAGGAAAAAAGGAAAAGCCAAAATTCAAAAGAGTCAGAGAAATGACGAAAACAAAAATACACAAGAGAAAAGCAAGCTTGCAGATGATGCTTCACTCTTCCGATAAGGCAACGATGCCGCTGCTTCTCGTTTGACGTGGAATATCACATGATGGATGAAACGTGCATCTTGTGCAACTGAGCCCCGACGGCGTGTCCTGAAGGTCGATCGTTCTGCATGTCCCCAGTCTGCCGAGTTTAGTGGGATTTTCCATTTAGTGGAGACCAAAGGATGTTCGAATATCCGCAAGTCCGGACCAAGGTATTATCTTGACCCCGTGGACAACAACTTGCCCCCGTAAGGATGAGGGACTGCTTCCTCTCTCGATGCAGGTCCGTCTCTCCGTGGGTTGTAGCTTGATCTTGCCTCCCCCCCATATGCCGATCCCTTCCCCCTTCGACTACTTTTGGTACTCGATGCCAGCTGGCAGACTCGTGACTGCGGACTGTGACACTCGGACTGCCATGTTCTGTTGAATATTCATCGCTGGGCCAGGATGTGGCATCTCGGAAGATAAGGACTCAAAGAGAGCGGTAGAATCTCCCCTTTCTCTGTTTCCCCTTTGGCACCCGGTGGCTGATAAACTGACAAAGTCTATACCACTAAGATCTCTGTTTCGCAAGCGGACAGAAAGAAAGGCGGGAAATAAAAGAATTAACGAATGTAAACGCTATGTAATACCGACCCGCGTGGCAAGGCAAACAATAGATCCCTGGAGAGATCATGATCATCGGCATAGTTAAACATTGAAAATCAAATCCAAAAACATTTCGAACCAGAATCAAAGACTCAAACGTCGAAAAATGGGACACGCGCCATCTGATGCTTTTTTGTTCATATGAAACCAAGCACTTGAGGGCAAAATGAGTGATCTACGGAAGTATCAAACTGGTTCCCCGGTATGTAGCCTTGGTCTGAGAGTCAATCAATCGACCCATCCCTTTCTCCCGGATACTCGCTGCGGGTATATACATACAACCTACTGTAAGGCATTTTGGACTGGCATGCTTCCCCAGAAATTATGCTACCCCGAAGTCCGAATGGAAATAAAATATCAAAAAAATCCAAAAAAAATAAAGAAAATAAAGAAAATAAAGAAAATAAAGAAAATAAAGAAAATAAAGAAAATAAAGAAAATAGAGAAAAATAGAAAAATAGAAAAAAAAAAAAAAATCTGAAAGAAGGCCATAATCTGGGGCTGGATGTTTCGTCCCCCAAATTCTAGATGAGCATGTTGAGCTGTTGGCTAAACAAGTCAGACCCCAAGATGTTGGTCGGTTGACCACCAAGGTGGCTGAGGAAGCGTAGGGGATAGACCAGAAAAACAAAGGGAAAAACGATCTTGCTCGTTGGCCCCCCGGGTATGCGGTGCACCCAGTGAAGAGGAGCGTCCGTGACGAGAATAGCTTAACCGCGACACCTATCAGTTGGCGAGTCAGCCGGACCTTGATACCTCTTAGGCGACCAATAGTCAATGGTGCGACAATTCATCAGTCAGTAGGCCCATCATGTATGTCAGTATTCAGTAAATTGCAGTGGCGAGGACATGTTCAAACGACCAGTGGCGTAGAACATGGTCTATTATTTTCAAATGTTATTTTATTTTCATTCTCGCTAAGTTTTTGACCAGTACATTATTACACATTTCCCTATGTATCCAATGTGAGCATAGCATCCTTTGACCTTGTAGTTGTACTATGACAGAAATCAGCATCATCATCCTTGATTGTTTCTGTCTAGTAGGTCACAGGCTCTGGAGAGAAATTTTTTTTTTTGAGATTTCACTCTTCTTTTCTTTTTCTTTGCTTCAAATGGTCAAGCTGACCATGTATCATGTCCCTTGTTTTGGCTTGAGAAACCAAAGTTGCCAGTGGGAATCTCCAGGGCGAAAAGTGGTTATGGGTACCAGTGGAAATTCCGGAAACAGACCGGTATTATATTTCCACTTTGTATGGAGAGTATAGGTGTATGGCTGTAATAAAAACAGATACCTAAAAATACCCGGCACAGAGTAAAATCGGGAAGATCTGGAAAAACAGGGCATTGTTCTTACTAGGTACGAAAAAGGTACCGGGGTACGACCGGTAACACTAAGCACAGATCAAGTACCGCGGCTGTACCGGTAATTCGGAGGCCCCGTGATGCAACTGAATTTTCCTATTTCCCCCCTACTCACCGACTCTAGCTGTAGAAGCCCCGTATAGAAGTATTGTAATTTTACGCGTGTTTCTTCCAAAACCTGAAATTTCCCTAATTTTCCTCATTTCCCCATTTTTCCCGTAAAATCAAAAATCCCCAAAATTCCCAATCGCGATTTTCCTTCTCCATTTTATTGAATTTTTTATTTGATTTTTGGGATTTTTCGATTTTCGTCTTTTTTTCTTTTTTCGATTTTTTTTCTTTTTTTTTTTTTTTTACCAATTTTACAATTTACAATTTTCCCCCTCTTCCACTCCACTCCACTGCCGCCCCCGTCATTCTTATTATCGTTCCGACAGCCCTTTTCTCCTCCCTTTCTCTTCCTTCACCTCAAATCAATCTTCACCCTCAACCCAACTCTACCCTACGTTGACCTACTTTCTCCAAGGGAAACGCGTCAATCTCTCTTTTAACGCGTTCCGCACCACTTCACTACCGACAAGGATTCTCCGCATTCGAACCTCGGTGGCGCCTGGACGAATTTTGACAAACGCTCAAACACCAATTTCTCAACCTCGGAAAATTCACCTGTCTTCGCCTCGTCAACAGGTCAAATAACACTGAAGCCTTCGATTCCAATCCCAGTGTCAAATTCTCCATCTCATTGACCTTGGCAATATCGTGCTGAGTCCAGACTCGAATTTTCCAAGCCTATTTCCGCACCCGCACAAAACACTAGAACTCTCACCACCCGTTTCCAACCGCCGTACGACCACTCTCGGGGAAGACGGCAACCCCGGAACACCAATTTCTCCTCAAAATCAATCTTAAACGCTCTAGTAACCTGGGCGTCTTCAAAATGCCACTCACAACCCCCGTCTTGACGGTGGACGCGGATAACATTCACAAAGTGGATACCGCAAACGCTCAAAGCCTTCACGGCATGTGGATGGGTAAGTCTTTGCCTGGGAATGGTTCATAAACATTGGTGTTTGTTTTTGGTTTGGCTAACATGTTTTTCTAGTCTTCTCTAAATGTGCCGATTACATGGACCAGGGCCGTCGTCTAGAGAACCTAAGCTGGCGATTGTGGACTCGTGAGACCTTCTGCGTTGAGGGCAAGAACAAGGATACATCAGCACTCCCCAGATTCCGTTCCGAGGCCGGTGATCTGCCGGAGCTCTCCGCCAGTGTAGAGTCGGCTGCGTCCGACCAAGCCGAGCGCATCGAGGCTCACATCAAACGCCCCAAGTTTTCCGACTACCGTCCTGCTGTTGTTCGTGAAGACTCTCTCGCCAGTCTTGGCCGAGGCAAGGAGAAGCACATCACCTCGTTGGATCTGGAGCGCATGGTCCTCAACATCAAGGAGAAGAAGAACCTCGAACCCATCACCACTGTCGAGCCCGCTGCTCCCGTTGTCGATATCACCCCCCGCCCATCGACCCCCACTCCTACTCCCCCTTCCGTCTCTACTGCTAGAAACGTCCCCGTTTTCCCTCGCCCATTCCAGGAGGCTCACGAGTCTACCGAATCTTGCTCGACTACTGCTCCCGAGGGCAATGAAAGTGATAGTGCAGAACATACCGCCTCCGATACAAGTGTCTCGTCCTCGGGCGTCCTTCCGACCGCCTCAGAGTTGATCAAGTCCCCCAGCATCATTCGGGGCTTCTCCCCCTCGATCATCTCTTCCTCATATCGGTCGCAGGCTAGACTGGCTGCGGACCCCCCGTCCCATGCCACTACTCAACTCAAGCCTTCCGCGCTCAAGAAAAAGGGTGGTATGTTTACATTGGGTGGTTCATCTGGTGACGACGATGAAAGCTCCTTTGAGGAACGGATGGTTGTCAAGCCAACACAGGAGAACGCGACCGGTGGATTGCTACGACCTACGACCAGCAACCCTAGCCCCTCTAAAAAGGTTGCATCTTTCAGCGACGAAGTCGCTTTCCGACCAAAGAGCCCCATTCAACTCGACGAGGATGCAATTGAGACCGACGATGAGGTTTCAGAGAGCGCCATTGAAGATGATGAAGATTCGGATTGGGAGGACTCGGTTACCGAGAGCGGCAAATCTAGCGTGGACGAGCGACCAGAGCTCTTCAAACGAGTGGATTCACGACCTAACCTAGTCTCTCGCCGATCGCTCCTTACCATGATGATGCACCAGCCGACCAACATGAGACAAGCGAATGCATTCCGATCCAGTCCTGCCCTGCAGCGGTCCCGATTGACATCACCCAATGGCCCGTCCATTCCCGCTTCGCCCCCTACAAAGGATGATGAAAGCTTGACCATGCGTGGCCCTGACGTTCCTCGGTCGAAGCCCATCATTATGAAGTCTCCGCCTCCACAGTCGATCGCTCATTCGCCTCGCACCACTCGCCGCAACATGCTTGCGACCGAATTGACCGAGTCCCTTCGCAAACATCTTTTGTGGGAGCGTCAGCAGAAGTGTGCTACTGCCAATGCATTCCTTAAGCGACGACACACTGCCCATGACGTGAAGAATCTCCAAGAGTACCCTGGGCCTAAGGGACCACACCGAACCCCAGGCGCAGGACCTTCTGTTCCCGGAGAATCTGCCCCGGGTGATGCCAACCAGGCTCGGGATAAGGATTTCGCGAAGAATGGGTCATGGACCAACTATGCCACTGATTATGGCCCATGGGAATACCATGTGAAAGGCTGGTAAACGATCATTTTCCGTGCATTTCTTCAACTCTCACAGCCGACGCGCTACCGATTCTTGATACCTCTCGATACCCGTCTCGTTCGCGAGCGACTTCATTCTCTCTCTCTCTCTCTTTTCTCTCACACCGACACGTACAATCATGATCATGCATTGCATCTAGGCGCATCTATGGATTTTTTTTACCCGATCTGGGTCTCATCGGCTCCCGGGGTTTATGGTGTTTTTCCTTACCATACAAGCATCACTGGGCACGTCCCTGCTTGGATCTTTCCGGATTACCTCCCAGGAACGATTGCCCATTACGACTTTAATATTCATGTACAGCTCAATCTCTCGTCCTTTTATCTGGGCCTTTCGAATGGTTGATGAATACGGTCCTATTTATCTACCCAGAGGTTTCCCCAGAGGTTTCTTTCCAAGTTCGAAAACAAAAAAATGGGTTTCATCATTAGCGCTCCCTTGCACTGCAAGCCTTTCCTTCTATCATCATGGCTGCGGCGAACATGTTAGCTTTCGTGCCCTGGGGAACGGATTCTTTTTTTCAGGTTTATTCTTTTTTTTTTCTTTATTTGATACCAGATACCATGCTTATTCTGTTTACCCTGAGTTCCAGGCTGTGATGCACGCCTGGACCACTTGTTCCCTGTACGCTACTCATGAACACTTGAGCGCCAAACCAAAAAACCTGGAATGAAATGAAATATTTTAATAATAAACTTCCTCCCGCATCTCGTATCTATAAAAGTAAAGTATGTAGTAGACCCATATCTATAAGAGAGAGAAAATCAATCTTGAATCCTGGAACAGGGCTGGCGCCATGCATCGCATTAAACGCTCAGGTGAATTGGCGGTCTGGAGGAGGTCGAGGTCCATGTCCATGTCAAGCGCACACATGCACTGAAAAGGTTGTATTTTATCGCTCGAACCTCAAGGAGGCTTACAGCTCTGCTCTGCAGAAGTATTCTCACAGGAACTTGCCCGAAGGATATGATCCCTGCGATATCGACGCCAGATAACAATCATGTGGGAGTCCGGGCGTTCCTCGGAGGCTTGGTGGCGTTGACACGTCAAAGGGCTGTGAAGGAGGGTAGTTGTTTACCACCTAGTCATTATGAATTCATGGTTACACCTGAGCAATACTGAATATTAATCATTTAAATGTCACGGGATTGCTTTCCCTTAACTCGAAGCTTGGGTCAAAGTCAGAAGATTCCAAGGTTATCCATGGAACTTGGCTGTTTTGATTTTCAATGAACTTTTTGAAAGCTTCAAGTTAGTAGCAAAGTACATCGCGGCTTCATTTTCCATGTGGCGTAGATTGCCATGAGTAATCTATACATGTTATACAGTCAATATGCGTCTATGTGTTATAGGGCTATCGGAATACTTTCACAATTTTTGGTTCTTGAAAATATATGGTATTAAATTTGACTACTAGTAGGGAAAATAGGTCTCTCTATCAGATTTTCACTACCATTAGGGTATCGTCTTCGCCAGATCGGGACCCGACACGAAGGACAGGAATCAAAGATCTTCAAAAGGTAAAGTTAAGTTAAGAAAAACAAAAATAAATGAAAAAGAAAAGAAAAGAAAAGAAAAGAAAAGGCAGAAAAAAAGGGGGGTGTCAGGTGGACGGAAAAAGGATTCAATGAATCCAAATGGAAAAGCCAACAAGGGGGTAGATGAACTTCTTTGTTACTTGGGAGCAAGATGCGAACGGGCTACAGACAAAAGTACCAATGGCCGGGGAATTGGGAAACGAACGCCAGAAAATTTAGTTCCAAAGTCGCCAGATCTAGCCCAAAGCCTTTTTTTATCGTGCTTGACGAATTTTCACCGCACTGATCGCTTCACATGCGGGACAATGACATGTGTTCTACATTAGCTCCTGCAGCCAGAGCTCTCAAGGGCAGCGAAGAGCAGTGGGGGGAACTGGTTGGCATTACGACTCAACGAGATAAGCGCTCAGTCCGAGTTGAGAAGGGTTGAGAAGGATCGACTTGTGTCTTTTTGGTATACTTGGTGGGTATACTCAAGTGCTTAATTCTGGACGGTGTGAGAATAATAGTATGCACATGTACCATTTAGCGAATTGAGCTATACATGCATGAAGACAGGGACCTGGGGTTCTCATAGATGTTCGGCGATCGGAGATGCCGTGATAAAAATGATATGCAAAGGCCTAGACTCGGCGGATATCCAGATGCACTTTAAGAGACTTTTGCGCATAGAGACCCCGGTGTAGCTTCATCATGACATTGGATGTTTTCATTATGATGGGGAAACTTAACAAACAGGTCAAGGTTCATCGGATAGTATGTTCATTCATGGTTTTTGGGGGTTTTTTGATTATTAAATTGTGGATCTAAGGCAACGCCCAATGAAGAAGCACTGGCGAGCTCAACAAGGCAGGAATAGCGGAAACTATTCTTGGGATTCGATACAGAGGACGGAGTACATGCGTACTTTGATACCTGCACGTTTTCCCGTAAAACGGACTTGATGTCATGTTGTTGTCCGGTCATGTGGCCTCAGGTGGAGATCACGGGAATCCTCGTGACTCCTCGTGACTCCGGGGAATTTCCACCTCTTTTTTGTGTTTTCCGCTCAAGTATTGTAACATTTGATTGATCCATGTTTATCGCCTTGCTTTTGTTCTTTTTTCCCTCTTAATTCGCAAACATATCATTGCATACTAGTAGCACGCAGTCCTACTATACTCTTAGTCAGTTTCTCCCCGGTGCCAAAAGCATCACAATGACGTAGCCAAAGCACTCCCGGTGCTTGCCTCTTCGAGCATACCCGTGTGTTGCATCGAGCCCCCAAGCCCTGAAGTGGAACCTCCCAAACCCCCACACTGTTTCTTTCCTAAATCGCCCGACTCAAGTTCTTTTGGGATCCTCTTTCCCCAGGCGCGAGTTGTGACTGGACATGTACCCGATCATGCCCGACGTTTCGTGGGTCTCGAGCGAAAAAATTGCAAGCATGACATCTCCAAATGCTTCGATTCGGATTTGTGATCCAGGGCACAAATGACAGGAAACATGGTCTTCTCTCACCGAACAGGACACAAAATATCAATGATTGACTGGTCTTTCAACGTTTCAATTCGACAGATTTACTGAATCTATCAATTTATTCACAGTTTCTACTCTTGTAGCTATTTGGCTATTTGACTAACGTGTTCCTTTCCGCAAAGCCCGGTCAATTCTAACTCTCTAGGTAATGGTGCGGGAAGATTCCAGCCACCTTTAGGCCTTGACACACGTCTAAACCCGTTCAAGCTATGAAAATCCCCCAATACCCACATAATAATGTCCACAGGGAGCGATTTTGTGCTTCGATCTCAGCTCGCCCGGTCAAACCTAAGTGGGTTCGTAGTGGATCCATCACAGCTTTGGTACTGGGCGTGATTCGCACAATGTCCGCGTTTTTTTTTCTTTCTGGGACGTCCCACTTGTACTGTTATGTTTTTCTCCCATGTTGTATGGTTTAGTATCGATGACAATTGGAGCCCACATTACTCCATTGAGTCGCCGTTGTTTATTCACCAGCTAAATGAGTATAACGGTGAGTCTCACAGGCTAAGCAACGACATCATGGGAAAGTGGACTCGGAAGTCAGAATTTAAACTACGCTTGCTGCTGATTAGTTCGATTAGTTCAATTTCATGTGCGTCATAAGGTTTAGCATGCCGATGATGCACATATGGAGGCTTTTTGTGGCTAGCGGACCGATATCAAGTTGAGGCTATTCATAGTGCATATACATACTGTACTCCGTGCGTACTCTGTACACAACTAACATCGCTTGGCAATTATCGGTCTAGGTGTGCTGCCATCTCTGGTCAAATAACGCAGTTGATAGCAGTATTTAAATATTTACAGCTTGCGTATGATCCAGTTTGGTATTCCATTTGCTTGTATCTATAATTGTTGCCATTGGTGGCGCTCTAAGAGATCGAAACTAATGTTGAGATTCACCATGTGCTTTTTGTGTAGACGGAAGACAGTATTCCAGGTGGACTAAGTTGAATACTTGAAAAATCGCCTCAAATTAAACCGGTTTGTACACTTCTCGGTGAGACTCCTTCACCTGCACGCGTGTTTGTACAGAGTCACCTGTACGTGTCAATCCTAAGCGTGTCCCCAGTTTCACCGGCGACATTCCTCATTTCTTCCTAGGTTTCTCCGAACCCACCATGAATAACAAAGCGACCGGTAAGAACGTCGAAAGGTCAAAAAGGGGTGGGAAAGGCAACTGGCCTAAGCTGGAAATCTATGCCCGTCGCTGCCCTGATCTCGGGATGCCGAGATGGAGGTTGGGCGCCGGGATCCGCGGCCCAACGCCGAAGCTATATTAGCAGGATACCTAGCACAGATCACGATGTGAAATGAACAAGTTCGGACCCGTCGTACAAGGTATACGAAAGATAATCCACCTGTATGCGGGAGAAAAAAAAACGACAATTATGTGCGGCATGATTGGTGTTTCCTCCGCGTGGGTCGAGCCTCACGTGAACCGGATCAAGGAGCTCTGTCCTCCGACAAATCAATCTTCATTGCGTGGATTCCGATGCAAGCCACAGACATGCACGGGAAGTCCATCTAGTATACTATGAAAAATGATGTTGGGATCAGAACTTTCTGATCATATATTTTGGGATTTGTTGCAGTTACCGGCTTTGATTGCCGGGACCGAAAGCGGATGTTCTTGTGAGCGTGGTGGTATGAACAATCCCATGGTTTTTTCAGAGTTGCACCAAGGGGCTTGTTCTGGAAGGGTTCTGGAAGGATGATCCGGTTGGTGCGTTGCATGGCCCAGATGGCGCTAGGCAACTTTAGGGACCAGAGCCTCTTCTTTGGGAAGTTTACAGTACAGTATTGAATTACCAATGCTTAGCGGTTTCTTGGTATTACGCAATGGGGCGTTACATCGTATGTAAATATTACATGTATTAAATACACTGGTCGTTTTCATGTATTAATAACTAACTAGTTATATGCCCCTTGTTATGTATGTAGTACCAGTAAACTAAGGTATGCGTCCTGGGGTATATGACAATAAAGGCTATATATGATATCAAAATATGCGATATGCGATGTGCGATATGCTAGACTTGATGAAAAATCAAGGAACTTCTCGAGCTATTCAAATGTGCGTCCATTCCTGGCAATAACAATACCAGGTGCCGGGTAATATTGGTTTCCGACCGTTGCAATGTCCCCGAGCCTAATACTTTGAAAAGGATGGGGAACCCTAATGCAACTAGTGGAGCCTATCAAAGTCACTAGACAAGGGTATACAGACCGGGTCAGATATGAAGGGGGTGTGACCATTTCAAATTTTCCTTGTGGGAAACGCCGCAAAAAGACTTTGCCTGCAAGCAGTTCTGATACACGGCCGCCTTCGTTCTGAACCTTAAGCGCGGCAATGCGGTCCAAAACTTTGTATCTGGGAATTGATCTGCGGAAAGAACAGATCGCATTCCGATTCACTGCTGATAAGTGAGATCCATCTTTCTTCTTCTTTTCTTAATTAACCCACCTGTCATCTGATAAATTTGTGGCAAATTATCTGATGTTTTTGGTTCAAATGTTACAAAATTCTGGGGTCAACTGGTCTTTTTTTACCGACTTAATATAAATATGGCGTCTTACACAGCTCAGAATGACAATACAATTTATTCATTCTGATGAACCAAACGTTGTCCCTGCATGAGGGAAATACTTTTTGTTTTCTGAAGTATACTCGGTACATTCACAAAAAAATCTTCACCTCATCTGATTCCGTTAGCCCCTCGCTTTTACCGACGGGGGACCATCCTGTCGGGTTGTCAAGGTACTTTGGTGTAAGGCGGGGCTAAATGCATAACCCTAGTGCCAGTGTGCAGTCGGCCGGAGTTCTGGAAGCCGAACCCCTCATCTTTCTCCGCGTATCGCTGACCGCCAGAGTGGGCGGGGTGGAGGTTGTATGCGAGTATTTCTTATTCAGGTAACCCGATGGAGAAGTCCATAAGTGATAATCATGTTGTTCTTGTGGGGAAGGTGAAGTGGACAACCGACTCGGAAGTATCGAGAATTACGGAGAACTATTAAGAACTATTAAGAACAAACACAGCAAACACTTTCAAACATTTGAATGTTGCGAACATTCAATGTTGAAGACAGATAAAGTTGTTAGTTTTTTGTGTACATAAAATATTGACGGCCTGAGGCTTGTAGCTTACGTGATTATGCAGGCGCATAGTACCTCCAATGTTCAAATGTCGAAAGTCGAGATTTACATGTGGAACTTTTTGATGCAAATCCTACAATTTGTCAATAGAAAGTTCAAGTCAAAAATCTATTGCTGACATTTACTGAGTCATTCTGCTTCATTGCCAGTTTCCATGAAAAGTGGTGACTCTGTGAGTCAGATTGTATCATAGTGGATATACCGTGACTTTACCCCACGTTGAAAACAAACTCGACAAAAAGTTCTTGGCACCAGCAGTTTCGGTGAACACTATATCTTCACACTATCAGTATCAAAATCCAGGCTTTTTTTTTAGAGCACGCCCCTCCACCAATCCTGGTCCTTAATTGCAACACAATCATAATCTCTTGTGCCCTGGCATTTCTTGCTCGCGCACCGCGGCTTACCTGTTGTGCACTGCAGATCTGGTCCTGTCGATCCCGAACAAGGTCACCGGATCTCTGCGTTGGCAGTTCAAACGTCACCTCGCCTCGGCCAGTCCAGGACTTTCACCCCCTCCATTATCTCCCGTTCACCTAGACCCAGCGGCATGGAGAACCGGTCAACTGACAACGGGGCGGGTCCAGAGCCCCAGCTCTATCGTAAGTCCTATCCTATTTTTATTGGCCCCGATCCACCTAGTGTCGTTGGTGGCTTGTACTCCCCCCTCTCAACAAGACTCCTTTCGAGACCCCGGGTTACATGTCGTGTTTTTGTTCTTCTGCAAGCCTCTCCCCTGTGTGGCACAGCAGGTCCATGCAGACTCACCTCCACGCACGTTGAGCCACCATGGCTGGCCATGGATGGCCCTGTTGCCTTTGCTTTCACGGGTGCGGCCTTCATGGCGGGCCGCAACCTTTTTGATCACACGCTCATGGCATTTTTCAACAGGGACGGAACAGCCACCCTTGACAAGTGATGAGTTGTCAAACCCAACTTCCTCGCATGGCGTTACACCCATGCAAGAATCGAAGACTGCTCGCCAATCATCGACAAAAAAACGAGGCAAATGTCGTTATTTCATGTCCAAGAAAGGTGTGTACCTTCAGCCTGGTTTTTTTTTTCTCCTTATCACTCTATGGGTTTGATCATTTTCTTCCTTTCCTATCTTTTGTATTGTATCGTGTTTTGGATACACCTTTGAGATACGGTTTCTCTAAACCATATGCAAGTACCGACTTGCATATTGGACTTTGGCCTATTGAGACATCGTGTCAGCCTGTGGCTCAACATTTGAGTAATACATATGTCTACTGTTCTTATTGGTTTGGTTTTTCGTTTTATTGCCTGTTTGTCTGTCTGTTTGCTTTCCGCGTGTATGAGGATTGAAAGACCATAATTTGGTTGTTTAAACCCGATACTGATCATTGGTTTAGGTTGCCGTGCTGGGGCAGAATGTCCGTACATTCACCCTAATTCCACCAACCAGGAGAGTGTGACTATGGCCGATCAGCCGTCCAGGTCGCCTGCTCCCATCAACATGGGTCAAAATCTAGACCCCAATGTCGGCACCGGAGCTCATCATACGGCTAACCCTGGTGGTCCGTCAAAACAAGCCACTGCAGTTTCACATGCCGCTCAGCCTCAAAGGCCAATCTCAAAATTAGAGCAAAAAGACCCGAGAGAGTTTCAGCTAAACCAATTGAGACGGCGATTCCAACCAAAGGAAACGACCGATAGCAATGGGTCGATCTTGGAATTCGGATTGGCTCCCTCTGATCCCGATTTTCCATTTGAGTTGCCCAAACTTCACTGCGTGATGCATGTCCCACAGTCATATCCTGATGCAGGACGGCCTACACTCACAGTGACTAACCCTGAAATGGAAGCTGCATACCAAGCCAATGTTGCGAGAGGTTTTGATGACATCGTTGATTTTACATTGCGCACAAATGGCCGAGGAACCCTCCTCAGTTGGCTGAACAGTCTTGATAAGCAACTAGAAAAGCTTCTTACCACTCTTGAAAGAGGCCCCAGGCTCAAATTTGTAGCCAATCTTGGCGATGGTACGGCTAGCAAAGGTCCAGCCCCACCAAAGCCAGGACCTCGACAACAAGTGGACTTGCCCGTGCTGCCAAAACAGTTATCTGTTAATGCAGCCAAGCCTGCGACTGTGTTGAAGCCACCTGTTACCAAGAAGACTTACACGGGCGAGGAAAGAGCCCAGGCTGAGCGTCGCAGGTCGATGGAAGCAAAGCAGCTTGAAGCTCGTCTTGGAAGACTTCCAATGTTCCAGAAACGGTCGGAGAATTCGTTTGTGATTCCGATTCAACCTGCCAAGAAAGACCGGCTTCCAGGAAAGCTTCAAGCACTAAAAACAGTCAAACTTCTAGTTCCACAACTCTATCCGCTTGAGAACTCTTCAATTGAGATTATAGGTGTGGATAGCCCAGAGGCAAAATCCGTGGAGAATGGATTTGCACAGTGGGTAGGAAAAAACCCACAGTTGAATCTGGTTTCTCAGATCAACTACTTGGCAAGTAACATGCACAACTTTGCCAAAACGCCCCTGCCTGAAGTTGCCGAGTACTCTCAACATGAGCATCCTCAACCCGTCATCGCTCCTACATCTTCTGAGGAAGAACATCCAAAGCCTGTTGAAGGAGTCGAAGATCCAGATCGACCACATCTGCATGTCATTCCACGTCCACCGGAGTGGTCTGTAGCTGAGAAGAACAGTGACAGTGAGGTGACTGACGGTTCAAGCTTTGAAGAAGATTCTGAAGAGGATGGCGAAGAAGGTGGCGAAATTTCTGGTGATGGAGATACCCCTGTTCCTGTGGCGGCCGATACCCCTGGTCGCGGGGTTGCACTTTCATTCCCTTTCCTGGAACTCTACGGCATCGAACTCTTGGAGATTGTGTATCTTTCTATCACAGTGAAATGTGAGAGATGTAAGGAGTCCATGGATATCAAAAATGTCCCCAATATCACTGATCCGAAAAATACGCCAAAAACTGAGTCATGCAGAAAGTGTGCGAATTCTATGAGTATCGGTAAGTTGGGGTTATCTAGTCCTATCAATCAGGTAACTGGGCTTATGCGTTTCATTAGGTTTCCGCAAACAATTGATGCATTCCCATGCAAATCGCGCTGGGTACCTGGACTTGGATGGTTGCACTATTGTGGATCTTCTTCTTAGGTAAGTAATTGTGCTACTTGGCCATACAAGATATTTCTGCCAGGCAAAACAGTCAGTGGCTGACTTTTGGTGCAGTAACTTCATCCCAACTTGCTCCGAGTGCTCAACTCCATACCATGCGCCTGGCGTATCTGCAGTTCGCGCAGAAAGTGCTGCAGCTACATGCCGTCAATGTCACCGAAAAATGGGTAAGTCATTGGTATCTCATGCCAACTTGAAAGCCATGTTTGAATCTGACAGAATACAGTCTTCAAGATTCCCGAAGTTAAGTTCCTAGTTGTTGGAACTGCTGCGGGTAAGTTTTCCTGGGATATTTCTCGATTGAACCAATTGACTCACCCCCGCCATTCATAGTGTCTAATCGATCGGGTTTGTCTTTGAAAAAGAAGGTAGGAATGCGCAATCATGGCTTTCGTGACTCATGCTAAGTGGTTCTTTTTTTTAAGCCCAGAGAGGTTCTTGGGATCGTTGCTGGTCAAGAACTACCCCGACGTGGACGCTGCCAGCATTATGCAAAGAGCTTCCGGTGGTTCAGGTAAGCTGTTACAATGTTGAACAGTATAGCATTTGGTCCTAACACACAGCAGATTCAGTTGTTGCGCAAAGGTTTATCCTTGCGATAAGTATGTTAAACACCAGTTCGTCGGTTTGATAATATACTAATTGGTGTAGATGTCATAACGTAGAAGCAGATCATCCAATCGAACATGCAAACCGCATGATCTGGTACGCATGCTCGCAGTCTGAATTATTCGATATGATGCTAATAATAACCAGTGGATTCTGTTCTCGGGAACAACATTTCAGACCAGAAAATTGTGGAACTTGCAAAGCGGTTCTTGTTGGTAAGGCTGGCAGTGGATTCTGGGAGGGAGGAAAGGGTACTAGAAATAGGACTCTGATGAGCCGGAAAGGTATGCTGGTCTTCTCCAATATCGCTCTTATTCAAACTGGTTCTGACGACTACATAGACCCTAGGAAATTCAAACGCCAAGGGAGTACTGTTCCTGGCGGATCGAGCTCCAAAAAGAAATAGGGAGGAAAGAAGGATCATGTATTATATTTAGGTATTCTTTAGATATCGTTTACCTTAGTGCCTATGAATCCTCCATGTTCGGTCTTCTTTCCGATCTTTAATAGCCGTCCCACTTGGACAGAGACTATAGCCGGAGTATCTCCGAGAAATTAACTGCTGGTACTTCGTGCACATGTGAACTGGCAGAAAAGTGGCGTTCGCAATTGTTCTTCCTACACAACCTTCGACCACAACAAAGCTAACCTCACCCCGCCACCATGAGCTTCCAACACCTCCACCCCAACTTCGCACAGATAACAGGGCCAAATCCAGAGATCAAATGCCATATCGAAAATAATGATTACCCTTTTGCTCACGAAGCGAGTGTGTATATCCCCCTAAAGGACCAGGTCTTCGTTACAAGCAACCGCATCGAAACAGACAATGGCAAGCAACGAATTCAAATCTCAAAAATCCAACTCAACGACAATGATGCATGCATCAAAGAGGAAATCCACCCCGACATCCCAATGGCAAACGGTGGCGTGAACTATCTAGAAGGTGTTCTATTCTGTAGCCAGGGCACACTCGACAGGCCTTCGAGTTTGATACACATGGAAATCGAAGCACCTTACAAGTGTACAACGGTGATTGACAGTTTCTACGGTCGGAAGTTCAATTCGCTCAATGATGTGGTCATCCACAGCGATGGATCGATTTGGTTTACCGATCCCGTTTACGGATTCAAACAAGGTTATCGTCCAGTGCCTGAGTTGCCGGCACAGGTTTATCGCTATGATTGGCTTACCAAGTCTGTGCGGGTTGTCGCAGATGGCTTTGGGAGGCCAAACGGAATTTCGTTCTCGCCTGACGAGAAGACTGTTTACATCACCGATACGGATGCCGTCCAGGGAGATGGGAGCGTGAAGTTGGCTCTCGCGGCTACAATGTATGTCCTTCTTCTTCTTCTCATCTGCTGTTCCATCTTCTGTACTGGTCTCGTTTCCTCCTTCTCCAAATTGAAGCTCTGACGAAGCTAATGAATGCTTGATGACAGCTACGCCTTTGATGTGGTCGAATACCATCAACAGCCATTTCTTACGAACCGCCGCGTCTTTGCAATGTCAGATAATGGTATCCCCGATGGGATCAAATGTGATCTAGAGGGGAACGTATACAGTGGATGCGGTGATGGTATCCATGTTTGGTCTCCAGGTGGTGTGCTTCTGGGTAAGATTCTGATTCCTGGGGGTGTTGCCAATTTCTGCTTTGAAAAGCCTGGAAAGATCTTGGCTTTAAATGAGACGCGATTTTGGCGGATATCTTTAACCCCGTCTTGCCGGGGAGCCCTGCTCGGGCTATGATATCCACCTCTTGTCGATTATAGAGATGTGCAACTTTATAACCCTTGGATCTTCTAGTATTCCAAGGTTCAATGATATGAGATATTCATATCATAGCTTCCTCCCTAGTGACCATCCATAGACCTCCCTGTCATAGATATCCATGCCAGTAATAGCGCACATGTGCAACCAGTCGTACGTGCACTCTCCCAACTGAGCTATCACTAGTTGACCCAGTGCTTTTAAATGTTCAAATCGTGAAGACCAAAACCAAAATTTGCCGTTAATAATTGCTACATATTGACATCATATATTGATCCAGCACTGGGACACTGAACATTCCTTTGAAGGTTCCTCATCCAGATCCAGTCTGACCTTGAGCGCAATTTTTCAATATTGCTGGACATCTGGAGGTTATGTAGTGATATTGGACGACTGATCATGGATTGCATCAAGTTTGAACATTTGAAGTTGAGATATATCAATGACATTTCGCTTCCAAATACTTTGGAGAGGCTATAATCCTTGGGCATATGAGTAGCTTGGAACCTTCAAATGTTCAGTGTTGGAAAGAGTTCTCCTCAAGGACCTCGGGAGGTGGTCATCAAGTTCGAGATGTCAACATTTCAATGAACCCAACATTTGGCCGACCAAGCGACTCGGGGCGATTCCTTGATCAACAGATGCAAAAAGCGGAACCCCCACTTTATCCACTCCGTAGCTTGCAATAATATCTTGTCCCCTCCTAGATTTCAGGTAATCAATGAACTTGGTTATCTCTTCGCAGACCCTGGAGCTTCTCAGCGGAGTATGAAGAGCGTAACAAGAATTCATAAGCGGGTGGAAGGGACCAGTGGGCTCAAAGAAAACTGCCCAATTAGCGACGGTATGTCGACTGACTTGTTTTAGGAGAGTCGATCGGTCCATAAGTATATAAGCCCCCGAAGCCGTCGCAAAAGACACAGCATCTGCCGGGTTATATGAAGTTTTGATGTACCATTTGGAAGAATTGGACTTCTCATCCCATGGACGACGATGACATCGACGCCAAATTTCACGTTCCTTGCACATGGTCGCGGATCCATCGTTCCTGCTGTAGAACAGAGATTGACTCGAAGCAATTCGATCGAAAGCCCCTTCGATAGACTTGGCTTGACTGGCATTAGCTGGGTCGTGCTTTGGACCAACCAGTGTAAAGTGATCATGGAAGATACATCCTGCATCTTCAGCCCAGCCCTCGGAAACTGAAATCTCCTCCTGTTCGCGCTCATAGGTGAGGGCAATGTCAATGTAGCCCTTGAAAAGTGCTATCTGAGTATTTCTAGAATGGTTGCAAATCCACTCGATTGATCCTGGTCTTCCCTTCGACGATAGGTAATCTCTGGCCAACGCTGCTACTAATCCAGTTCCCCCTAGAATTTTTTTTTTTTCAAATAAGCATCATTATGAAGGATTTCTGTTGGTATTCGTTATACGTACCTGCACCGCCATTTCTGTTGCAATGGAGCCATTAGCTGGGTGAATATCTTGCGAGGGGAGAGATTGACAAACCCAATTCTCAAGATGACTTCCCCTTCTCCATATACTTCAATTGGAGTTGAAGCGATTTCTCCATTTTGTTGAATGACGGTGCTTGCTACACTGGCCATTTTCTTAAAATGCCGCTGCGTGTAAGTGAGGGGTGACTTGTTTAAGCGGAGAGGGTGCGGGTAGTAGTTAATGTTATCGTTTATGTCGATTTGCGGGGTCAAAGGCCTCTGGTGTACAAACGCCACGTAATAATACTCAGCGGCACATGAAGAGTACTAGTATGCAGTATTTGTTATACTCGTAGTCAACAAGCTCATGTAAGTACTACTAGTAGTAAACTTTGAATAATTACTAGCAAGATATCCATAGTTTATGGACGGCTAAGTATAGATAGTCTCCACTTGAAATGTATTATGGGGTAGTATGTATTACCCTATATAGTAGAGACAGGAGAGCCGCATATCCGAGCAAGTAAAGAATCAAATATGACTGAAAAAGAAAAAGAAAAACTCTTCCGTGGCGGAGATGCCAATGGCCGATCGGAAAAGCCCGTATTCTCCAAGCGATCCTAGTTCGCTCAGGGATGCAACCTTGGTTTCTTCCTGAAGCACCCGAATCACAATTGATTATTGGGCGTTGTCAAAGCAGAAAAAGTCAAAGAAATCGGTGGCGACCGGGTTGGTCGTCACGTGCCGTCACGTGTACCCCGGGCCGCAAAATCGAAGAAAAAGTCGTCGACCCGCAGCCCCGACCTTATCTCGTCACTTGTTGCCGGTTCAGCTTACCTTCCATTAATTTGGCCCAAATTGCCATCCACTTGTCGATCCTGCGACATTTCAATCCAAACTTACCACTTTGTCTACCATCCTCAACCTTGAGACGCAATCCATCGACTCCGAGTGATCGCGTCATTTCCCCGACCTTCCGACTCGTCATCCCCTTCTGACACAACCCTCCCTCACAATCACACATAATGGATCACACTCGGGATCCCTGCCCCTGGGTCGCCTTGAGCGATTTCGGTGGTGCATTCTGCATGGGTGTATGTTCTGGTCGACGCCTTAGCGTCACAATCGCGTTGAGTTCGGATAACTGATCGAGATGTTTCCAGGCTATCGGTGGTGCTGTCTGGCACGGTGTTAAGGGTTTCCGTAACAGCCCCTACGGTGAGCGCCGGATAGGTGCACTCACCGCCATCAAGGCTCGCGCGCCCGTTCTCGGTGGAAACTTTGGTGTTTGGGTATGCAAATCTTCAACCAAGGCCCAGGAATCCACACTTATACTAACGTATCAATAGGGTGGTCTCTTCTCAACATTCGACTGCGCCATTAAGGGTATCCGAAAGAAGGTACGTTTGCTACCGAATTGACTGCCGAGAAACATTGATTGACGATTGCGTGGAATTGTAGGAAGATCCCTGGAACGCTATTACTGCCGGTTTCTTCACCGGTGGTGCCCTCGCTGTTCGTGGTGGTGTCAAGGCCGCCCGTAACTCCGCCATCATGTGTGCTGTTTTCCTCGCAGTTATCGAGGGTGTCGGCATTGGTTTCCAACGAATGATGGCCGACAACACAAAGCTCGAGGTATGTCCAACCCCCTTTTGACAAGCTGTTGCTTTTACCGACATATGAACTCCTCACTAATTGTGTCTAAAATAGCTCCCTCCTCCACCTCCCTCTGAGCAGAAGGCGCTCGCTTAAATCCTCCCCCCCCCCCTTTGTCATAAATACGATCGATTCATACTCCTCGGTGGCCCACGGCCTCATACTTTTCTTCAATATCTGTCTTCATAACATTCCCACATTGAGTCTCTCTTCTCAGGTGTTTGGTTTTGCTCATCATTCTTAAACGACATGGCATAGAGATCCTGGTTTCGTTTTCATTTACGCTTTTTATACCGCCTTCCCGGCTTGTGTTTCGGAGCAATGTGTTTTTGTGGACGGCGGGTTTATTCACATGGCTGGTTTCTAAGACCGGCGTATGTGTTCTTTTCGTGGCCAGGTGGCCTACTAAAAAAGAAGTTTCTCTGCTCATCAGATGCAAAAAATGCGGTTTGGAGATCAGACTTTGGTGGATTCTTGTACATTAACGCATCGCTAACAAGCATAATACACATTTTATCTGCATATATTTATTCAGACTGGGGGATTTTTTTTTTCAATCTTTGCATTTAGGTCTCGACAAGAAAGAAGAAAAAAGCAAAGACGCAACCTCGAATTCACAGGACTTCTTATCTATCTCATGCAGGTCTAGGTTAGCGGACTTTCGGCCGCGCAATTGTCATTTCTCCGCTTTTATCGGCACGAACTTCTTTCCCCTCCTCACGCACGCCTCGGCACCTCGAAATCACTTTCACCCCCAGTTACGGCCATGTTAGAAAGTGCTGCGACTTTCAAACCTGCATTGATCCTCCACGGAGGTGCAGGAAACCTCAAACGCGCCACTCTTCCGCCGGATCTCTACGCCGCCTATCACGCCTCGCTTCAGTCTTATCTCCGCTCCACTCATGCACTCCTCGCCAGCGGCGCATCGGCCCTCGATGCCGCGGTGCATGCGGTGTCCTTGATGGAAGATGACGAGCTCTTTAATTGCGGCCGTGGAAGCGTCTTTACTACCGCAGGCACAATTGAGATGGAAGCTTCTGTGATGGTGACATCGGTCCAAGGCTCCATCAAAGACTTGGAAGGCACAATAAAGCGCGGTGCGGGTGTAATGGGTGTGAAGAACGTCCGTCATCCTATTCGTCTTGCGCGCGAGTCTCTTCTACGTACTGGGTATTACGCAAATGGCAAGCCGAGTAATGACGGTGGTTCTATGCATTCTCAGCTGCATGGCCCTCAGGTGGAGGCATTGGCTCGCGAATGGGGACTGGAGTCCAGGTCCGATGAATGGTTTTGGACAAAGCGTCGCTGGGACGAGCACCAACGGGGATTGAAGGGAGAAGCGGAGCCTCTTTCGCTGAGTCAAGGCACCGTTGGTTGTGTCTGTCTGGATCAATGGGGTAACTTGGCGGTAGCCACTAGTACTGGTGGGCTGACCAATAAACTTCCCGGTCGAATTGGCGACACTCCAACTCTTGGTGCGGGCTTTTGGGCTGAATCATGGGATGAGATCATTTCGAATATACCGATGACCGCGGCGTCTTATTCCTCTCCTCTATCTACTGGAAATTATTTCCAGGAAGCAAAGGACTGGCTGGCGGATTGTTTGCCTCCTTTCCTCAGGGAAACTAGTCCTCCAGCTTACATGTCACTCCCTACCCAGGTGGATCGAAGGGAATTGGGCGCTGAGAAGCAAGCTTTATGTTACGAAGAACCATCTGCTCCAAAGTCCAAGAAACGTGCTATTGCAATTTCAGGAACTGGAAATGGCGACTCGTTCCTCCGCGTTGCGGCCGCACGTACCGCAGCCGCTATGATGCGTTTCTCTGCACCGGGTCTTTCTCTAGCTGATGCTGTCACCGCAGTGGCTGGCCCGGGTGGTGAGCTTCAACGCTCTGCTGGACAGCGATGGAACATCACCGGCGAGGGCGAGGGTGGCATTATTGGCATCGAAGCTGATTCTGCACCTGCTACTACTGGGCAACTGCGCCGGGGCAAAGTCGTCTCTGACTTTAATTCTGGTGGGATGTGGCGTGCATGGGTTGACGAGGACAGTACCGGTAGAGAAATTGAGCGGATTATGGTTTTCCGAGAGGAGTACCAGTAGAGCTCGTATGGATTATAGTATATACTAAACTTGAAATGCTTTCAAATGTTAGCTTTCCAAGTTTGGAACAATTGAACAACACTCAACGAGAATATACTTATACTCAAGTTCTACCTATCCAATAAGTAGTAGGGACTTGACTTTCCAAGATTCAAAGCCAAAGCTCAACCTCCACTTGAGATGTCGTAAAGGCTGACTTACTCTGAATTGGGTAATGATGCGGGGGAAAAAATGAATTTATCTCATGCAACATTGAAGCAGTGTTAGTTGATGTCATGCCCCCCAATACTAGTACCTACTAGTACTAAGTAAGAGCTCTTTTCCTGCATTTCTTCATGTTATGCCTACTAGTAGTAAGCCTGTCGGTGTATATCCCTCTATTTTATTCCCCGCTTTCTTTTTATCGCCCTATAGGATGTGGTAATCAAGAAATGTGGCTGGTATGTTGGCAAATCAAGGTACTTGCAAACCAATATATGCACCCCTTGCATTTGTCCTGTGTAACAAGCGGTCACCAATGAACAGTCACCACATGCATCATTCTAAGCAGGAGCATTATTTAAGGCTCGATCCTCGATTGAGACACCATGCTAATCATCATTCTGTTTCTCTTCCTTGAATACAAAGCTGACCACCATTGACCCTCATCGACTACTAAATTGTTTCGTCATTCAATTGATGAACTCAAGGTTCAAAATTTCAAGATGATCTTCTACACGTCCTTGGTTTTCACCCTTCTCTCCTGCACAGCTCATTCCGTGGCAACGGATAAGGTAGGCCATCCGCTTAACCCCGTGTTCGCCTGGCAGAAGACTAACAGATGCCATCATACTATAGCCCCCAGCCATACTCTTTTCCCAGGAGCCATGTGCAGGGGAAACGATAGCCATCAAACCAGACAACACCTGTGTTCTCTTACCCGTTAATCTGTAAGCTCATTCACAAATTACGTGGTCTAATGTAAAGTTAACGATGGTCGACAGGAGGAAAAACATCAACGGAGCCAGAGTTCCAGAGGACGTTGTATGCGATTTCTACACGTGAGTCGGCATTGGATTTCCATGTGAATTTTACCGATACTAATTCTTGTGCATTCATAAAAGTGATGACAAGTGCCAAGAGCCACTTTGGATTGGAATGGAGTCATCGGAGGATGACAGTGATTGCAGCTTTAGTGACCCCAGCTTGGAGATCCAGAACAAGACGGTGAGTGTGCACTGTTACGACGGGACCGCCATCTACGAGCATGAAGCCTTGTGAAATGGTAAATAGGGCTTGATTGGAAGAATGACTTGGCTTGCTTTGCCTGTATCCGAGCTTCTATGGTGAATAATACCAAAGAGTTTTAGCTATATAGCCAAAATAGAAAAAGTATGACTGGAGGAAACAGATGAGAATTCAAATTCAAAAAATAAACTCCGATAGGGGGAATCGAACCCCCGGCTGTCGTGTGAGAGACGACGATGTTAGCCACTACACCATATCGGATTTTGTATGAAGAATATGGCAAACTTTGCCGCCATAGACCCACAACAGATTAGGGCTATGGGTCCTCAGTTCCCCCCCTCAGCTTTGTCCAAATATGCTGAATCGCTGCACTTCTTTCTATATTGAATCCCTCAACTCAGATCAAAGCACACTGCCAGGTGTGCAGCCAGTCTCATCATGGTTTAGGGTGTTCACCCATCTCAAACATCGAACTTCGGAAGGGATCGGATCCCACAAGATTGGAGGTCGAGTTGAGTGTCTGGAGTCTGGACCGATGTAAAACTGGCATGCAGGGTGACTCCGATCCATCATTGGCAATTGTCCCTGTTATGCATCGTCGCTTTTTCGGGGTAGAAAAGTGGACTTGTTCACCACTTCTTGGGGGGTCCAACCCTCCATCATTCAAATGTTTTTCCATACATGCTGCAAACGTTGGAGGCTTGGGTGTAAAAGAGTGTCAGCAGAGGAATACAGCCGCTGCTCAGGGAAAGGAAAGAACGGAGAGAAAAGGAACTGGATTGGCTATGGACAATCTCTCTCGGGGGGATGGAGAGAAGAAGAAGGGAAAAGGGAAAAGGAAGGAAGGAAGCAAGCACTAGATATACCCAGAGGGAGTCACCTGACCCCTCTCTGACAAAAAGTAGGGTGATCAAAGTAGAGGGAGTGGAGGTCCGATAGCTTCTTGCGCATATCCGGATCCATCATGGCTGTGCGGGAGTTACCCAGTACTGGGAATGCCCTTCGCAGAGTTGCGGTCGGCGAACCATGCCACTGTCTTGGTTTACTTAATTCAGGGTATATAAGTTGGGCGTGAGCCCCCCTCCAAGGTTGAATGGGTGTAGGAACACCCGGTACATAGTATATAGTCCGCCCTGGCCAATACTTTAGTCATCTAACGATTCAGATTGCCGCAAATGCTCTTCATAGTGTTCAGCCGTGGGGATGAGGCGATTTGAAACATTGTCGTCCCTTCTCAAGTCCCTTCTCAAGTCTATTCTCAAGTCTATTCTCAAGTCTATTCTCAAGTCTATTCTCAAGTCTATTCTCAAGTCTATTCTCAAGTCTATTCTAAAAGTGACCCGTATTTAGATCAAAATACCTTAAGATATTCCTGTATGTGATAAGTACAATACGGGCGGGAAACAGGGTGGTGAAGTTAGAAATTGAAATTAGGATGTGACCCTTGGCCTCTATCGGCCACCATAGCTATTTCCTAATAGACTGAGCACGATCCCCTATCCACTTGGTTACGTCAAACGTAGAGCAATTCCTTTACCCCGAACATTCGAACAAGAGCCATGGATTAATTGAGAATGTAGCGCGTAGAAATAGCAATTACGCCAAACATTTGAAGGACACATTCCATTATAAAAACTTTCAAAATCAGTAAAAAGAGAGCATAAATATAGGAACAGGGAAAAAAAACATGACAAGAGTGGGATTCGAACCCACGCCCCGGAGGATTACGGGTCAGGACATATTCCTAAAGCGGAACATAGAACCTAAACGTAACGCCTTAGACCACTCGGCCATCTTGCCAGTATTAAAAACTTAACGCGGTAAATTCGAATTATATTCCTACAAGAACAAATTCAAAAGATTGACATAAATGTTGAGCCATTTCAATGAACGGACTCTAATTTACCCATTGAGGCTTGTGGGTCTATTCTTCAAGGGCTTACTCAAATCAGAAGGGAAACAGGGGCGAGACGGGATTTGATACATCATACCCCGCTTTCCTTGGCAGGATCACCGTCGGACACATGAGTGGAGGAGCTGAGTAGGCGTGGATATACTACTCTGGAAGATGGCAAACAGTGTACCTCTTAGTGTTAGTATTTGGATAAATCTTTTTCCCGCGTCTCATTAAGTGCGGAGATTTCAACCCTTCTGTCCGGGGTTGAATCTTGATCTGTGTCTAGTCTTAACCAAAATAAGCCCGTGGGATGAGGGGGAGATTATCAACAGGAGCTTCTGATTTGGCTATTTTTGAGCAATCAGGTATACATTGTAATTTGTACTTACAAGTTCCAGGTTCGGCAATGACGAAGGCCCTTCTTCCCCATGGGGAAGAATAAGATTTTTGTGGGATACTCAGGGACCCCCACAATCGTGGGACTAACAGGGGGTACCTTGTATATACCATAAGGATATAACCTTCCGGCTTAACCCCTACATAATATCGGATAATCAATCGGAGTAGGATACCCCAAATGGATTCACTTTTTGTTTATTATGTCTTGTCTCCTCCATTTCCCTCGCTTCTTTCTCTACCCCACCACGGATTCCACGGGCTAAGCAAGAATGATGGGTCCAATGTTACGCAAGCTCCTTATGAGCCTGGCTATTACAGAAGCCAGTGCTTTAGGCATTTCTACTCAACATACCCAGTTTCAATCCACCGTTACGCCACGCTCGGCTATATTGTATCATAATAATGGGAACTGGACCGTTAGTGCTTCCACCTACTAATGCCTCCAATGCCAATGTACATGACGAAAATTGACTCGTACAGGCCCATGCCGAAATGCCAAGCGCTATATTATTTCTCGATCCTGTCTCGAAAACAGAAGCTGAGTCAATATGCGCTAGGAATGGCGAGAGCTTGATCAAGGAACCGGATCTTGACAAGTGAGTTTGCTTGCGTTTTCAAATTTCAGTTAGAGATACTAAACTACATGCCGTCGAAGTTTCAAGCTTCCTCTACAATACCAAAGTTACCTTGGTTCTATATCTTCGGGCAAGTTCTGGACCAATCCCTCTTCTAGCGAGAAGGGAGATCGGCAGTTTATCTGCACCAACACGGCGCCTCTGGTTGACGCGGTCGAGACGCCTTTCTACAAATTCCCGAAGGTGAGTGTCTCTAGCAATGGAACTACGTATATGGGTGTTCGTGACCATATGACATACCGTTTCCTCGGGATTCCATATATGCTCCAGCCCATCGGTGATCTTCGTCTTGCGTATCCCATCCAGTGGTATACGAACGAGACCGACTATGTTATGAATGCCACGACCTGTAAGAAACGCAGCCTTGGTGTTTGAAAAGATTTGGACTGATAGCTTTGATGATCAGATGGCCCAAGCTGCCCGGCCGACTATGGCTACTTCGATGGCAATTCGTATGGTCTCAACCCTTGGGGTAACTCCGAGGCATGGTGAGAGGTATCTGTTCTTTTAACTAGCCAGAGCTGATTGTTTACAGTCTCTTGATGAATATTTTCACACCATTTCTACCCGGAGCCGAGATTACCCAGAGTAAATTGCTCAAGCCTGTTATGTTCTGGCTGCACGGTGGAGGAGGCACTGCTACCGATCCTACGTCTGATGGTGGCAGTTTGACTTCTCGCTCTGATGTAATAATTGTCAGCATCAATTGGCGTGGTAGCAACTTTGGTACGCTGTCACTTGTCCTTAATTCCGTGGGGTCGTCTAACTTTCTCATTTATAGGAGACATCTCTTTCAACGATGGCTATGTTGACGGCAATTACGGCATTGCAGATATTGTCTCGGGACTTCAATGGGTTAAAGACCACATTAAAGCATTCGGCGGAGACCCGGACAGGGTGACTGTGTTTGGTCAGAGTGCAGGAGGAGAGAGTGTCATGAACATGGTCAGATCGCCCAAAGCGGCTGGTCTTTTCCATGCCGCGATCCTCCATAGCGCAGCTCTTGGGCCTGTGCTCACTCAAGCGGAGGTCGTTAATGTGACAGGTATGTAATTCTTCCCTCCCTTCCTATGCCCATACTCTGACATTATGCAGTCCCCGCGGTAGCAGCTGTGTGTGGAGATGCGATCGGTGCTGAGCGTCTTTCTTGCCTGCGAAATCTGAGCCTCGACGAGTTTATGAACAACATCACTTTCAATGTCGGCTCTGGATATGACAATTACGATGAGGGTGCTATAATTGATGGCATTTGGATTGCCAATCAATCCGTTGCTGCTGCTCGAAATGGTCAGCTGAACAGAATTCATTTCATGTCTGGCTCAATGCCCGAGGAGGGAGAATCGTGAGTGCAACCTGATATACCAGAATCGGTAGCGAAGTCTAACATTGCAAAGCCTTTTGGGTACGACAATTCTACAGAATGCTACCGACTTTAATGCGACGCTTTACTCTTTAGCTGGATCCCAATATCCCGAAGACTGGCCCGCGCTAGTTGAGAGGTCAGGCCAGTGGAACAATGGCTCAAATCCGATCAACGCTTGTGAGTCTGTATCATATCATCGCTTTACACTTCTAACATAATTAAAGACAATAGCACAATCAATGCCTTCACTACAGTCCACCTGACCTGTCCTGGTCAACAATTCATCAAAGCCGCTTACGAAGCGAAGTCGTTCAAGTCCTAGTATGCTGTTCCCAACCACACACGCTGAAAACTCGACTAACATAAATGACAGCTACTACTATAACAACCTACGTGCCTATGCCCTGTCATATTACGATCCATATGGCACTTGCACCTTCCCCGTCGGAGAGCCGGACACGCCGTACTACCGTTGCCACTCTGGAGATCTCTACGAGATCTTCGGCTCCTACTACATATTCGATCAGCCAATTCGAACACCTGCTGATATCGGACACACCAACCTACAGCAGGACATGTGGGGTGCCTTTGCTCGCACGGGAAACCCTAATCCGCCCAAGGAGTACTTGGTGGCGCGAGGGTATGAGGACTCTTTGGCTGTCTTTGAGAAGTTTTCGTGGCGTGGATACGACGGGCACTCCGCTATGAATATTGATTATCCTGATCCATCCAATGGGGAAATGCCTTGGGCTGAGAAGTGTAAGGTTGTGGAGGAACTGTATCATCTTCCTTGAACAGTGGTTGGAGTTTTTAACAGAATATAAACGATTGCACTGGGTCATTTCCTATACTGCGAACCAAATTCATAATTCTTGATTTGAAGGGGAGATCTACATAAAATTGGCAATCAGAGAATTGTCGCTCAGGATAGAGCCGCCGGGTTTACAATGGGCTTTAATCTAGCACTTGAGGAGTTTAATCTTAATCTAGACACGGGTCACTCTCATCGTTCATGAATCATGCTAACACGGGTCACATGTGACATGATACACGAAGCCTAATCAGGATGCATTAATGCCTTGATCTGCCTTAATATGCCTCGGGCAGCAACAGCTCTGAACGGCTTTCTACCACCGCTGACCACCGCTTTCAAAGCACTTGAGATCTCACCTCCTTCTAACAGTTGATATATTTTATTTGCTAACATTAGCCACACATTGATGTGCACCATCGGACTTGAATAATTGATCCCGAGAGATATCAGAGTCTTCAAACTTCCACGGTTGAATTTTGGGGAGATAGTAGTCAACTACTATTCTAATAAAAATATCTATTGATGTTCAATGTTGTGCTTTATACCTTCTCTTCGTGCGTTCAAATGTTCAATGTTAACATTTACATTCCAGATGTCAGTCATCCTACTCATTTCCCTCATCCAGATGTCTTAAGAGTCCATAGCTTCTATGGCTCCCGTAGCTCCATAATTCTTCTACTATATACGTGCTATATTTATAGTAGTGACTGTGGGTCTTTCTACCGCACGTGACTAGTTTTTGGCCATTCTAGCCTTCTTACACACGCCTTGGACTACGAACCACCAGTACAGCTCTATCATCTATGATTCTAATTTCTATGTCTGCCATATGATGTGATCAAGTATTCCAGTATCAAGAGTAACTACTAACTAACTAGTTGACCATATTAAGATTTCACCGCCCTGATTAGTCCTCAGTAGGCTAATCCCAAATAGGAATAATTGACAAAGACACGGAATCTCCCCGCGGGCGGTGAAAGTGGCGGTACGAAATAAGATCTTCAATCAAATTGATTGACATCCCACCGTGGATTCTGCTGTGTTCGCCGAATACCTCTCGACGCCAAAATGGCTGACCCGAAACCATTATGTACACCGCCAGAGCTAATGCTCAAGGTGATACTGGCTGGGACTTTGAGCCACTACGAAGCTCGAGGCATGATCGATGACAAACGCCTAGAGCACATGCTGGCTGCTGGAAAGCAGATCCTGTACAAGACACACCAGGAGAGCGAAGTCAGGTAGGCAACTCTCTAAGAAAATTTATGAGTCAAACTGTTTTTGATTCAGACTGACAATTTTGCTGCTCAGGCACAACCTCGGCATGTCTCCGGACATTTGGCAAGGCCTTACAGATGTCTTGACAAAAGCGATTCCGGTCCTCGAGTCGCAGTCTTTCGCTTGGAAGAGTCCATCCGCTACATATGAACACTCCTCGTCAAACCTCATCGCATACAATTATTTTTCATTGGTGAAAGACATCGAACGGCTTAATGATCTGTGCACAATTGCCCGAAACTTACTCGCCACAACCAAGAAGGCACAGAACTTGGCAGCTGCTAAGGGTTTCGACCAAAGAATCCTCGCCTTGATTGATACATGCGTACGAGTAACAGCTAGAGGGTTTGACGGCGAGACCAATGCCCGCAATGAGGAGCGTTGGCAGAAGGTGGTTAATCTTTACAAGCGCCTACTGATAACGTGCCTCCAATATTTGCATAATTTCATCATGCATAACGAGCAGCGTAAGATGGTTCTATGGTTGGATCTTTTTGGTTACCACTCGACTGCCGATACGAATATCATCAAACCCAAGGACGCGTTGGACCCCATCGCTCGGGCTGAGGGTGTCGCACCCGTTGTGAAGATTGGAGAGCGTGTAATTAACCCACCAATCCGCGCATTGTACGATCAAACCGCCGAGGACTTACTGCTGGAGACTATTGCCAAATTTCCACGTGAGCCTTCTACAATCAAAGAAGAAGCTGCTATGCTACTCTTGGCAAACATCAAGGACCACATGGAAAAAATTCTGGGGCGGGACCTTACTGATATTCAAGAGATGGGCAGAGATCCAGAGCAAGTTAAATATATACGTGCTGCGTTGACCTCAATACTGGGCGCCAAAGTGGATGGATGGTCTGATCTCCAGGATCGGGCCCGTGAAATGCCACCTGCATTGACAGAGGAAGACGAACATGGCCCAACAAAAAAGAAAACAATTTTAACCATTGACCGCAGCATGACCGCTGGATTTCCACGTTTGTGCTGGGCTGATTTGCCTGAGGTCAATGATTACGCAGTGGATGCTGAGGTGACGGATGATGACACGAGCATGCCGCGTTCGTCCCAATCTGCAGCCGAGACACTGCAGGAGGCCAAGGAAGAATTAATGGCGCGCCTTCAAGAGTCATCACACCTGGGCGACGGCGATGTTGATTACGATACGGCCGATGCTGGAACCGTGGGCGACGATGACTCACAAAGCCTGGAAGGCCATGCGGACGGAAGCATTGAAGGGGACGAGGAAGACGAGGGAGATCTTGATGTGGATGGCCCTGATGATGGCGCAGAAGTAGATGACGAAGAAGACGACGATGACTACCGTGGCCGCCCCGGCGATCAACAACGTGGCCTGTTGACCGACATCCCTCTTGTCCTCGGCCCTGCTGAGATTGAAGCGCTTCCCATGATTATCCAGGCAGGAATCGTGGATAGTTTTGGACTTAAAGGTGGAGAGAGGAATGGTTCGCGGAACATGCAAGCTCTCCGCTGTCACATCCTCCTTGCGCAGGAGACAGGCCGCAACTTGCTCCGTGAGCTTCTGATCTTCATCGCAGCTTGGGATCTGCCAGACGATGAACTTTATTTTAAAATGATGGTCCAGATTATGGAAGCGGTGCTTCGGAATGGACTCATGTCGCATGCCTACTCCGACTTCGGGCAGCCTAAAGATATCATTTCGCCAGCCCAGGCAGTGGTTATCAAGATTCTTACGCACATCTTCCGTGCCAAATACTCCCCGGCCTCGGTGACGGGATCATCTCAAAATAATATTCCTCGGATCCCATCGCCCTTGAGCCGTGTTGATATTCTCACCGTCCGATATATATTCACCATATTCCGCGGTAATATCATCCCGGAAACCTGTGCTTTGATCTATCTCCAGGGTCAGATTCGTGCGGAGCGTGCACTCCCAGAAGACTTCCCTCTCAACCTGTGGGATATGGAACGAGTGTACGAGGGCGTGTATCAGTTCCTCGAGTTTTTCGCCGTCCTTACCGAGAATAATGACTGGAAGAATCTACTGGTGAAATGGGAGATTGTTTATGACTTGGTAACTTTGATCAAGGAGCTAGAGGCCAGCATACCCAAGGGTCAACTCAACGGGATGTCCTATGGTTCAGTTCCACCGCCGCCACCTCCACCCCGTAGCACTTCACCAGATGACCAGTCGCCCTCATCTCCAGCCCCTGTTGCTGTTGAGCGTCCCTATGACCCGGGTGACCCAGAACCAATCGACAACGTTGCTGGCAGCGTTGACTCGCGTCCAGAGTCTCCCCCAATCACTGAAGATCCCTCGGAATTCGAGTGGCGGAACCTCAAGAAATTGGTTGTTTTGGTCCTGTCCTCATTGGTCTGGAAGTGCCCTGAGGTCCAGGAACAAATACGTCGCTACGGTGGTGTCGAGGCCATCCTATCATGTACCAACTTTGACACCAACAATCTTTATATTAAGGAGCATGCTGTCATGTGCTTGAAGTTCTTGTTGGAGGGTAATCCTGAGAACCAGCGTCTGGTGGAAGAGCTGGAAGCTCGGGAAGTTGTCAGTGACGAGGGTGGGATTTTGGAGAAAAATGGCTACGAGGCTATGATAAACCAGGCCGGTAAACTTGCACTTCGTTCCAAGGAGAACACTAACTAGATGGGTTAATTATTTCACCTTGTTTATCGCGTGCGGTTATTAGATTGCTGTCACATTCTAGTGGATGGCGTGAAAAATACAAGAACCATTCAAATTCAATACTCCGTATTTTTCGCGAGTCTCATCAATGTCGAATGCCAGGTAAGATTTCATAGGTACACACTACTAGTAGTAATCCTATTAAATATGAACATTCGAACCAAGTTCAGATGTAGAGCTGCGAACTTGCACCTCACGGTATCCTGATCTCCTTTCGGTATGATTTTGACGATCTCTTATTGGCAATTGCCTACTTCCTACTTCCTACTTCCCCACACCAAGTGGGCGCGGGGTAACAGTACACACCCGCTCGAACCGGATAGGTGGAAATTCTCTTAGATCTGCAGCTCTAGCTGATGTAAGTCACTTTTCACTCGGCATGACTTCCAAATGCAGGAACTGAGTATCATTGACGAAGAGGAGAGCATCCATGGATGGACTCGGAGAAGACCACCGGTGAATCCGGTGAACCCGGCGGTGTTTTGAAGATAAGGCGATTTCAATTAGTACACGCGAACTTTCCCCTCACAGAAACAGATAACCCATAATGACTCCAAGCTAGTCAATATCGGGAAGCTCTTTGTCAGAATAGACGAATCCGAATCATCATGAAGATACAGAGTGGAAACTAAACCTCAGGAACTATCGCGTCGGAAATCCGGCAAATTGTCGGACGGCGCTTTTCCGACTTAAGCGGGCATGATGGCATCGGTGCCCCCAAATGATCGACCGATAATGATGAAGCTGGGATTTCATTTAAATGAAAGCTAAGCCTGAGCCGAAGATAGCGGGGGTCCCTCAGATGCGCAGAGAGCTTTCCCACTTTTCCTGAATCCAGAACCTCACACAAAAACTACCTTGCTGGACACAGCCTCAAGCATCATGATGAAGCTGACAGTTACTCTTTTGAGCTTGAGTGTGGCTCATCTCACCCCAATGGTTTCGGCTATGCCATCCCATACCCGAAGTTCCGACTCAGCCGTGTCAACATACGCAGATGACATGTTCAACACTGCAATTGAGTGGAACGATGGTTTCTGGGACGAAGAAGCAGGTTACTTGATCGCAGCAGCTAGCAATGATGGCCGCTACGACAGTAGACACAGTGGGTGGTATGCGACTCAGCTGTTGGCTAGAAATGGACCTGGAGATGTTGCGAGAGCTGTTCGCATCTTTGACAACGTAATCTCGGGGCAATGGCTCGACCCTTCTTTGCAATGGTATGGGGATTATCAACAATCGCCGTCGATACCCGAACCTGGAACGCCCGAATATGTCAATGGCGGTCCTTATAGCTCAGTAAGCTGCCCTTTTTGTCATTGAGTCTTCATCAACTAATCAAGTTGCGCACTACTAGTGGGATCCTAATATTCGAGACTTCGTGGGCTGTGCCTGGATAATGGCCCTTAATGATTATGAGCATCTGCTTCCGGCGGAAACGGTTACGAAGATAGAGAAATCGCTTCACATTGCGGCGAAGGGGGATTTATACCGTGTTGGCGGAGTTGACGGGGATAATCTCTACCCTTGTTATTCTAATCCCTGGTTGATGGGGACCATCTTGGTAAGCTGGGTGGGTGAAAGGTTAGGTGATAAAAACTTGACACAGAGTGGCGAGAGGCTTGCGCAGGAATTTTATGATCTCTGGAGTCAACATCATACTCTTTCCGAGTTCAATTCCCCAACATACGCTGGCGTCTCTATGTGGGCCTTGTCTCTCTGGAGCAAATATGCAGCTGAAGACAGTCTGTTGAAGAAATATGCACCTGAAGTTTTGACCACGACCTGGAACGACATTTCTCAACTCTACAACGCAAATTTGAAGAATCTTGCAGGACCCTGGGATCGCACCTACGGCTACAATATGAAAGACTACACTTCTCTTGTTGGTGCCGTGATTTGGGGAGCGGTTGGACGCGAATATGCTCCTTTCCCACAATGGACGTCGGGCATGTATCATCAGGATGATTTTGCCTTCTACCCACTATTCGCCCTTAGTATGCCGGAAATGTTGAAGTATTTGTCAGCCGAGTCCAAGTCAAAGTTCATTCAGTTTCCTGGGGAACACTTCTTCACTGGTCAAGCCTACTCTCCGCCATTTGATACATATTCACGAAATATTACTACTTGGATGTCCGAGAATATTACCATCGGTGCCGAGACTGTGGCGGAGCATGTTATCGGGGGGCCAGCAGAGAGTACCTCGGCGTTTAGTCCTGCTGTTATTCAGTGGGCGATCGACGATTACCAAATTGGATGTGTCTCGCACTGGGTGAGCGAGTCCTCCATTCATGCCGTGGCTTCTCCAAAAACTTTGAACATCTCCTACCCCAATGCTACTGCAGCAAGCTATCCGGTTTCATTCAACTTCTTGTTCAGCGGTCTCAATGTCCGAAATGGCTTTAATGTGACTGGACTTGAAGGTCTACCTGGTCTACCTCTGGAGGTCGAGACAAACGCTGCTGCTAATTACAGTATTGTCTATGATACAGATCAGACTGTGAATGATTTCATCTTCTACAACATTACTTACACTATGCCAGACGATTTCACTGAGGAACCATATATATCTCTCCGGGTTGTTTGATTTTTTTTTGGGGGGGGGGGGGGGGGTTATCAACATGGATATGACTTAACCGTGAAATCAGTATGTACATAATCTCAAAATAAATGATTTTGTATGTAATTGTTGCTAAGAACTAAACTTCGTCGGTAAATAATTCATACCAGGAGTACACATGTGTTGATAAAATGGTTCAAAAATGGCATCATCAGTAAATCTGCAAAATGACAGTCGTAAGACTCGTAACGTGGTCGAATACAGAGGAAGCTCAAGCTCCACGCACGGCCCAATCACGTTCCCCCCGCGCCGCGTTATCACTTTGCTGCCTCCGAACCTCCACATCCATCTTTCCTTCTAAGGTTCAATTGTTCTCGTGTCTTTTTACTCTTCCGAATCCCATTTTTTTTTTGTTCACTTCACCCTTTGTCACACCGAGTATCAACAAGCAAACAACTCGGTGTCACAATCCTCACTACAAAGCGGGGACCTCCGCTCACATCGTCCTCTCCGCAACCCAACATCCCCCTCAAAACACACCATGTCTACCTACGAAGGTAAGAGGAAAGGAATGCCCCTTTGAGACTTGACACAAACTGACAAGGAATTTTTTCATTAGTTGAACACGGCACAGCAGACCCTGCCTCAAACCCTCAAACCACCACACGCCCCCGCCGCCCTGATCTGTCAACCTTCTTCGCAACCCTCTCCGAAATCTCCCCAGACCCAGACCACCCTGATCACCGCCCCCATGCGGTCCCCGTCCCTGGTGATGTCAGTGCAGCTTTCTTCTCGCTCGCCGAGGCGCTGCACCAGATGCGCCGTGACGGAGAACGTGACGGTCAAGACGGAGAGGATCTTCTGACGCAGATGATTCAAAACCTGCTTTCAGGGGCTGACATGCCACCCCGAGAGGTAGAGGGAGTTAGTGAGGAGTTTTGCGATGGTGAGTACTTTCTTGCGCATGAATCTTTGAATGTTATCTGACTTGGAGAATTACCATAGCGCTCGATCGTGTTCCCAAATCTTCCCTCAAACCCGACCAAACCTGCCCTATCTGTGGTAATTCTTTCTTGGATGATGAATATCCTCTTGTCGTAAAGCTGCCTTGTCACCCTACTCACATCTTTGATATGGAATGTGTGCGGCCTTGGTTACGCTTGCGTGGCACTTGCCCGCTTGACCGTGTGGATTTCGCTAAGCAATTACGGGAGAAAGAAGAGGCCAAGAAGAAGCTGGTGGAGGAAGATGAAGAGGAGGAATGGGATGGGATGTATGGTTGAATAACATCTAGGATTATGGAGCTACGGGGAGCTATAGAAGCTACGGACTCTCGAGATCAGCGAGATGAGCATGATGAATGAATGCATTAACGAGGGGAAGATATAAAGCATAACATCAATGGACATTTTTATTGGAATATTACTGCTATCTCCCAAAAATCCAACCGTGGAAGTTTGAAGACTCGATGTTGTTTGGAGTTGGGAGGCCTTGACGAGGATTAATAATAGCCTTCTGGAAGATGCTGTAAGCGCGGTACAAAACCACAGAAATGTCGTATCTGACATGACGTGAGGTTCACGTCAAATCAATCCAATTCATCTCTACTAACACGTCGGCTTCTCAGGATGCCTTTAATTATGACCGGCCCAATGCCCTGGCACGATGGAGAAGAGAAGGTCCATCACCTGCTCAATGCGCCTGAAGTCGATAACCCTTCAACACCATTCCTAAGCCCCAGAGCGGGAGCTTTTCTACAGCAGGCCCCACTTGTTGCACTTGGTACATTGGATGAGAAAGGTCGGCCATGGTCAACACTGTGGGGTGGCCAAGCAGGCTTCGCAGGTCCCATCGCCGAATCTATCATTGGGCTTCGCGCACTAGTTGACAGCAGAGGTGATCCCGTCGTCAGAGAACTACTCGGCAATCAAGATGAAATGAACAGCAAATATGAGGAAATGGCCCCCCGGCAAGGAAAAATGGTTTCTGGACTGGCAATTGATTTGGAAAATCGACGAAGAGTGAAGTTGTTTGGCCGGATGATGGCAGGGTCTCTCAACGACGGAGACGTGGCACAGGCACAGCTTGTTGTCAAGATCGAAGAAAGCCTCGGAAATTGTCCAAAGTATTTGAACAAAAGACACATCGTTCCCGCTCATTTCAATCCAACCATCCTATCCGACAAACCGCAATTGACCCAGGCAGCCATCGACCTACTTTCCCGTGCAGATACAATGTTTGTGTCATCATCTCGTGAAAAGACAGACATGGATACCAATATACGTGGTGGACCTCCTGGCTTTATACGCGTTGAGTCAAATGACACAAGCGGCGCAGTTCTCGTCTATCCCGAGTATTCTGGGAACAGACTCTACCAAACGTTGGGAAACCTGCAGCTTAACCCGCGGGCGGGCTATGTGATTCCAGACTTCGAGACCGGGGATGTGCTCTACGTCACCGGTGACACTCAAACACTTGTTGGTAAAGACGCCGCTGAAATTCTACCTCGTTCCAATCTTGCCATCCGCATGAAAATAACAGCGGCAAGATTCGTGCGTAACGGGTTAGCTTTTCGTGGTGAAGCCGGCGAGCTATCCCCATACAACCCGACCGTTCGTTATCTCTCAACAGAAAAAAGCATACCTACGGCAGAGACAGCCGGGGATATGACCGCAACTTTGATTAAGAAAGAGACCATCACACCAACAATCAAACGATTTCGATTCCGTGTTTCAAGCCCAAACCCTATCTCCTGGATTCCGGGCCAATATGCGACTTTGTCATTCGAAGAGGAACTAAATCTAGGATATAGTCATATGCGCGACGACGATCCCACTAGTTTGAACGATGACTTTATCCGAACATTCACCGTATCATCTTCTCCAAATCGCGATCTACCGGCTAACGAGTTCGAACTCATGATTCGTCTGCATGGGAAAGTGACTGACTATCTTTTTCATGCAAACGAGCAAGCGAGACTGGAAGTGCCCCTCAAGGGATTTGGAGGCACTTTTCGTTTCTCTATGAACGACAACACGATCCTCCCCTTTGTAGCGGGTGGGATTGGTATCACGCCTCTAATCGGGCAACTTCCAGATCTTGCCCTCGATCGCCTTCGATTATTCTGGTCGGTGTCGATTCATGATATGGGATTGGTGCAGGATTTGTTCCAGCGATGGCCTCGATTGGCTGCTTCTACTACGCTTTTTGTTACCGGAGTTAGTTCGGACATGGATGATCGTCTTCGCTCATTTTATGAGACTGTCAAGTCGTCTGATGCACATGTTGAGCAACGTAGGATGCAGGATGATGATTTGGATCATTCGTTGGCTGATATTTGGTATCTATGCGCAGGGACTGCCTTGCAGCAAAAAGTTCTGACTTGGTTGGAAGGAAAGAAAGTTATGTACGAGAATTTTAATTATTGACCAGTATTTAACTTGGGGTTTTTTCAAGAATTTTTATACTACTTTTTAAAATACCTTAACAATGTACTAGTATGAAAAGCCAAGAGTTTTCGTTTACTCCATACCGGACCATACGTACTACGTACACAGCCGCGATAAAAATAGCCCCCGTGACGCACGCCCCGTGTCTGGGAAGCGCTGATCATGTAACATGTTTACTACAAATAATCCAAGGGCCCAAGGGGACTCTTTTCAATACTCACGAGTCACACTCCACAATGCGATCCAAACCCTCCGATTACCCGGCTCTTCCTTTCCATGGAATCCGTATCCTCAGCTTTCTATCATCACTGATAGTCGGCATTGTTCTGGCCGTGTTTATCATTCATCTCCACGCTGATGGATACAAATTACCCTTTGCCTTTCTGATTGTAAGTTCTCCACAGCAACCAGATCATCAACACAAATAAACAAGAGCACAACGACGGACTACAAGCATCCCAAAAAAAAATATGAAAGGAAGTTAAAAACTAACATGTAACAGCTCCTCATCGTCTCTCTCTTCTCCCTTCTAAACATCATCTTCACATCCTTCATAAACTGCGCCTGCAGCCTCAACACCAAACTCTCCATAGTCCTCAACATCATCATCCTCCTCCTATGGGCCCTCGGCCTAGCTCTTATAAGCTACAATATGTCCCACACCATCCTCACCTCCTGCACGGCCGAATACTGGGGAAACTCGACCGGCGAAAACGTCTGCAGGATGTACAAGGCCCTCTTCTCATTCACCATCCTTGCAACGGCCTCATACATCGCAATGCTGGCTCTCGACGGCATCGTCCGTCGGCGTCAGAACAGACTGGGCGCGTATGGACTTGCGGGAGAGGATCACATGGAGCTGAAGTTGGCCGGTGAGCGGGATGCGTTGGCGGGGAATGGTTCTTATGAGGCTGTCCCGGCTGTTATGTCGGGCGGGTATTCTCATACCAACACTGCCTATACGCATGATACTGAGCATAGTCATGCTGGTGAGGCGGCGGAGTACTATGACGCTGCACAGGGCATGAGTAGGCGGGGGCAGACAGGCTATGATCCTATTATGCACCGGTGATTTATTGGTTGAGTTATGACGGTCTATTTTGACGGTCTATTTTGATGGATATTTGAGCGGTTATATTTGTTGGTATTGCTGTTTTTATCTGGATCTTGACATTGAGCACCCAGATCTGATGCCGGTTCATGATTCTTGCGATTTGGGGCTGCTTTTTTTTTTTTTTTTTTTTTGGCTTCGTTGATGACCGCATTGACATGACGGCGTTTTTATGGGAATTGGATTGCCCCTTGGATATGTATGTAAAAGTTGGAAATAACATCCAAGACATGGTTAGATAGAAAAAAAAAGATTAGATTTTGTCTCTAAACGACTTCAATATGCTGCATTCTACCTTAAAAGCAAGATGGAAGAAAAGTATGTGAATGGTGGCAAAGCAAATGGCCATCCCATGGCACGAATTGGAGACAAATAAATGAAGGCCGCTCGATATAGACAAGATAGGCAGGGTGGTATTTTTTCAAAGCAGGAACCAAAGAGATCGAAATTGACATTCGTTTACATGATAACTTCGTTGGCAACGTCCTGGATCGAGGGGGAATGGTGTTAGTACGGAAAACCAGGACAATTTAGTAGAAAAAAGAGAGAAAGACATACCCGCTTAAGCTCCTTGTAAGGGAGGCAAACACAGTTTTGCACACGGACTTCATCGCCAACACCGCACTCTTTACCCAGGATAGTGATGCTCTGAACCTTGACACCCTGCTTAACGATGCTGGTAGAGTGGCTGCCAAGCGCGATAGGGGTACCTTCCACACGAGCCCAGGCGCCAATACGGCTGCTCCATCCAATAATAGAGTGCATCACACAGGCATCGTGGCGAATCTCTGTGTCCTCAAGGACGATGGAGTCCTTGATACGGGCGCCAGCGCCAACAACCACACGGGGACCAATGGAGACGTTCGGGCCCAACTTGGCGGTCGGGTCAACGGTCGCAGTGGGGTGAATGAAGACCGGAGGCACAATCATAGCAGAGGGAGGGGTAAGCTCCTCCGACTGGGCCTGGAAAGCCTTCTGGAGGTACAGAGCGTTGGCAGGCACAGCCGAACCAGCGGTCTTGATCTGACGCCAGAAGTCCTTGGTCTCGTGAACGAAGAAGCGGTTGCTGTCCGCGAGATCAGAGAGAATGTCCTGCTCCAGACGAAGCATCTCGCTCTTCTCGCTATCCTCGTCGTCACCGGTGGCGACAAAGGATGACTCCAGGTTGTCGGAGGAAGGGTAGGAGAGCATGCGGGGACGGGTGGTGCGACGCTTGATGGCGCTGCGGATGGCGGGGAAGATACACTCGGTGGCGAACAGGTAGACACCGCAGTTAATGAGGTTGGAGATGTGAGACTCGGGCTTCTCGACGTAGTGCAGAACACGCTTGGTATGGGAGTCGGAGACAATGCAACCGAAGTTGGTGGCGGCATCGTTGCTCACCCGCGTACCCAGAATCACGGCCTCGGCGTCCTTTTCCTCGAACAGACGCAGCATTTCACCCAGAGGGAAGGAGCAGCAGACGTCGGCGTTCAAGACGAGCAATCGCTCGGGCTTGCCCTTGAGAATTGCATCACGGAAGTGGTACAGACCGCCGGCGGTGCCCAACGCAGTGTATTCGCGCAGGTACTGGATGCGGAACTGGGGGAATTCCTTGCCGGCGTCCTTGATAAAGTCACGGAAGACAGTCTCATCGTAGTATCCAACCAGAATGACCTCACGAACGTCGGGGACCTTGGCGAGGGCAGTGAAGCAGTGGTGGATGATCGGGTGGCCAGCGACTTCGAAAAGGGGCTATCAAGCAGGAAAAAAGCGTCAGGATCGCTCTGCTAGGTATGATCACGATTGAATTGGATGAAAGTCAAGCACGCACCTTGGGTACATCGAGCGACAATGGGCGGAAACGAGTGCCCCGCGAGGGACCTCCGACCTATTGCATGTGTCAGTAAATAAAACGGTGAGGTGGGATGCAGTGCATGATTGCGGGCGGTCCATACCAGAATTACAGCCTTGGTAGAGCCCATGTTAGATTGATCCCGAATGGGTACTTGGAGCATGATTGTCGAAAGAGAAGAACAGTTGAAATAATTCAATGTTTTCTAGGAAGACACCTGGCCGGAATCAGTGAGAGAGCTCCGGGGAGGGTTGCCAAGACAAGACGCTTTCGGGCGAGCTCACCTGACAATTGCGGATGATCGACTTTTTTTTTTGCCCGAACAATTGAACTGACTATTTGATCAACTACTAGTATATAATGAATTATACTATGCTCCACATTTTGTAAATGGTGGGTTTGTATTGTTATTGCTATTGTCAGTGCCAATTCAACCCTGACTCAACTGGATTCAAGGTTATTTGCCGATCATCACGTTTCACCAAACACCCCACCGAGATAGTAACTTACTACTAGTAAATACTGAAGTAAATAGACCGCTTCGATGGTGACGTCAACTGGTCGGGCCCAAGCAAAACAGACAAACAGAACAAAACAAAACAGAACAGAACAAAACAAAACAAAACATACATTCAATCCACGTGCGATACGATACGAATCATACGATCAGGTAAGCGCTTCATGAACTACCTCAGATGAGCCATAACAAAATACCGTAAATTACTAAGTAATGATGGCTGTAAATGGGATATACTAGTGTCTCAATCTACTATTGTCATAATAATCTCGCCTTCTCTCTATTCAATCCACCAGTTGACAAATTTAAATATTCAAATGTTATCATTAAAAGTCACAAAAATCAAAATCTATGAAAACAGGCGTACAATTTTCCAACGCTCCAGATGTCCACATCATCACACATTTTCACAATTTATCAAATCGACAAGCCACTTTCTGCAAAATTATCATCCCAATCTTGGAGACCTTCGTGCTCACCCATGGTAATGTCCGAAGGTACCTCCATATCTTCGTCGTCCACTTTATAGACGGCACTAAGCCACTCCTGGGCTTGTGCAAGTTTTTTCCGCTGCTTGCTCAAATGGCTCCGACGGGCTTCTCGCTCAGGATCCTCCGCCATCAACTCGCTGCATCGCTCCGGGGTCGCAGCGTTGATCTGAGCATCGAGGGTCAGCTTCAGTTCATCTCGGCACTTCCGTCGGACCTTCGATTCGGCTAAGAGGCAGACCACATCAGTAAACCGCATCCTTGCGATCTCGTAATAGCCCCGAGCGTTCTGCAAGATTAGCATTCGAAAAAAAAAAAAAAAAAAACCTAACAAAAAAGCGAAAGGAAACTCACAGCCATCATTTCAATTTCCTGACTGAACGGATCAGGACCGAGATCTGCGGCGGTGACCTTGGTGTAATCTTCTTCAGGACGGCCCCGAACTCGCTGCCAGCATTTGGCTCTGGCTGCCTCTCGGCGTTCAAGGAGGAGCTTCAAGGAGCGATTTGTTCGCTCCTTGTGTTCCATTTGCGCCATTGTGAGCGTGCTCACACGCTCCATCTCAAAGTACGCCGTGACAGCGTCCAGGAATTGAGCCTCGATCGAGTCAAGGTATTCTCCAATGATCCGTTGTAGCTCTCGATAGAGCCCGGTCTGGTGATAGAGGGCTATGACCTCATCCAGGGTCATGAGAATAGCCTTCTGGACCACACGGTGAAGGGCGACCACGAAGTCTCTTGCAACATCCCCCCAGTGCTCGATCATCTGGCGGTTCAACGTTTGAATCGCACTTGGTTCGATCTGATTGGGTATCCCAGCTCGCTGACACTCTTGCTTAATGCGCCGGATATCTTCCAGCTCGAAGCGTGGAGGTTCTTCCCATTTTGCAAAATGATTGGTCAAGAAGACTTTTCTCGTGATGGCAGGCTGCTGGGCCTGCGGTTCCACACTGGGTGCGTTCTCTTCCACCGCCGCTCCTTTTCTTTTGGTGCGGGGGGAATATGCTCCTGGTGCTTCCATATCGACATCCATTCTTTCTTTGAAGTAAGCGCCATCATAAATAGAGGCTAGACGGATCCGGGGCTGTGTTTTCTCCAGGGCCTTCTGGAAGTCCAGAATCAGGTTATTCCAACTTTGATGCAAATGCCTATTTTCGGCCCCATCGTTGAAAAGCCCGTGAAACCTAAGTCCTAGGGTCAGAACTTTCTCAATGAGGATCCTTTGCAAGTTATCCGCCGGTGGGTCCGGGAGCGTTTTGAGCTCTTCATCGATCCTCATTGCTTTTTCATCGATCTGTTTGATGATGTTGGGCAAACACTTTTGTATTTGTGCCATAAGAACATCAGAAAGGGCCGCTTGAAGCTTACGGACTCCAAAACGATCTTGATAGGAAGCCATCTGACTCGACCAGAACGGCCCCCCAAAGAACGTTTCCTCTTCCTGCCTAGCAATGCAGTGGTCCACGGCTGGGCTTGGATTGTTACAGACGACGTAGTATCCGTGGCCCAAATGAAACTTCTTGCCGTCTAGAATCTCAGCCCATTGCTGATAAGACTCATCAGTAATTGCCAGGCGGTCCGGCTTTGTCAGGACACCTAGAGTGCGGTCTTTGGCCCCCTTCACTCCACGCATGATGCGAGCTGCACTTGAATTGGATGCGTCGTCGGTCATTGATAGAGTCAGGAGAACTATACAGTTCTCTTGACTAATGTATTGCTTTACTAGTCTTTCGACTAGCGTGACGAGATATTTCTCGTCATCATGGTCCGGCTGATTAATCACGCCGGGCAAGTCATAAAATGACAGATTGGGAAAGTCCGGAGCCGAAATATCGAGACGGACGATGTTGGGTGAAAATTTTACCTCAATGTTAGTCGAGGTATTCTCGTTCTTTCCTGGAACATACTCCTGTGATTCCGCTGTGGGGTTTAAGATTGCCAACTGTGCCCACCAAATAGCATCCTGGACCTGACTCCTATCCACCAGCGTAACAAACTCTTCCTCATCTTGCGTATCCCTGCGGAGCCAAGGTCCCAAGTATTCGGATCGTTCGTCCTTTGGGATCATGTGCTTCAAAGTCTTTTGGGGATCATACCACCACCCCCGGACGAGCGAGATGGTGCATCTCCAGGGCTGATCTGGCTCACTCTCCCGAAGAACAATCTCCATCGGACACCTCGTGCAGGTTCCTGCGCTTCGAGGCACGCGGATCTCGGAAATCGCTTCTATAAGCGAAGACTTTCCAGTACTCTGGTCGCCCACAACACACACCTTCGGGAGGGCAATCTTGCTATCTTCTATGCCTAGATGACTCAGCTTCTGCACTTTCCGAACGAGGTCTCTCATATCCAGCGTCATTCGATCGAGCGATGCGAGGACGCTGTCCGATGGGGGAGCAGCAGTGTAAGGATTGTCCATGTTTCTGTTGGCAGAGTGATGAGATAATTGAGTGTTGTACGCCATTGCAGTGGTTTGAGAGTCCCGAGAGCCAAAAAGGGGTCTTCGGATAGGCGAGAGCAAGTTCGAAGCGGGCTGGGGGAGACGGCCAGTAGGTGTGGTGAACATGGGGGTGCAGAACAACGAGTCTTCCGATTTGGGCCTTGGGGACTGACGATAGCCACTGGCAGACATGCTATTTTGATAATATTAACAAACAAGGGAAATATGGCTTAATGGGGATGTTGATGGAAAGTAGAGAGAAGATGATGAAGGAAAGTATGCGTAGATGGAGGATAGAAATGGGTTGAAGATGGAGGAAGAGGAGGAAGGAAGGAGGAAGCATGAAGCTGAAGTTTCGGCTTTTATAGAGAAAAAAAAATAAAAATAAACAGGAAAGTCCCGGGGGTTGAAATCTTCAAGATTTCCAAAAAAGTCTTACATGAATTGAACTAGATGGTTTCCCTCAGGGTCTGCAACGAAGTTTTTTGTTGATAGTGGAAGGGGGTTAGGTTACAAAATGCCAATCTTGATTATTCTCAGTGCATTTCTAGCAAGTGGGATCTGTCTAACTAGGTTGACGTTTTTCAAATGCTTCAAATACTTCAGAATGTCTAGTATACTTCATCGTTGTTACTCTTGTATACTTCCCGACAAGCGGGGTAAAGAGCCCCACTGGCCCTAAGCCCTAACCCCCAATCTAGTAATTCTGGGCTGGACAACATTTGAATTGAAATAGCTCTGGCAAAGTACCATATCGTATACCTACTAGTACAATTCAAACCTCCAAAAGCTCCAATGCTTCAATTGTAGCTTTAATTATATAAACGAAAATCCAAACTTCATCATCAGGTTCAAGCAACTAAAAGTTAGCAGATTTGATGTCATGAGATTCCTGTAGTTGGGCTGTAGCCAATCAGGAGCGACCGAGGGGTGACTCAACGCCCAAAATTTCATTTGCCCCTCCTTCCTTATTCTCCCACCATCCACTTTTGATCTCTTGTCAACCACAATCATGGCGGATTCCAACCCTGTCAAGGAGGCTGAGGTCTCTATGGCCAACCTGCTGCTCGACGAGGTCACCGGCGAAAAGGTGTCCAAGTCCGAATTGAAGAGACGCCAGAAGCTGCGTGAGAAGGAGAACAAGAAGAAGGAGAAGGAAGCCGCCGCTCCCCCCAAGGCCGAGAAGAAGGTCTCCGCCGAGGATGACGAGTCAAACCTGACCCCCAACGTAAGTCTGGTCTGTGTATCACTCCAATTGACATACATGCTGACCATTGTTTCCCTTTTTCACAGCAATACTTTGAGATCCGTAGCAAGAGAATCAACAAGCTTCGCGAGACCAAGAACCCGGATCCCTACCCCCACAAGTTCCAGGTCACCAAGGACCTGCGTGAGTACCTGAAGGAGTACGAGGGTCTTCAGAAGGGCGAGCAGAAGCCCGACATCCCTGTCCGCATCGCCGGTCGTATCTACACCAAGCGTTCCTCCGGTAACAAGCTCACATTCTACGACATTCGCGCCGAGGGTGTCAAGATCCAGGTCATGTGCCAGGCTCAGAACAGCTCTTCCACTGTGCCTTTCGAGGACCAGCACGAGCATCTCCGCAGAGGTGACATTATCGGTGTTGTCGGTTTCCCCGGCCGTACCGCCCCGAAGAACCGACCCGATGGTGAACTCTCCATCTTTGCGACTGAGGTCATCCTTCTGTCGCCCTGCTTGCACGCCATTCCCTCCGAGCACTACGGTTTCCAGGACAAGGAGCAGCGTTACCGTCAGCGTTACCTGGACTTGATCATGAACGACCGCTCTCGCAACATCTTCCGCACCCGTGCCAAGATTGTCAGCTACATCCGACACTACCTCGACTCTCGTGATTTCACTGAGGTCGAGACCCCTATGATGAACGCCATTGCCGGTGGTGCTACCGCCAAGCCTTTTGTCACCCACCATAACGAGCACGATATGAACCTCTTCATGCGTATTGCCCCGGAGTTGTACCTGAAGCAGTTGATTGTTGGTGGACTTGAGAGAGTCTACGAAATGGGACGTCAATTCCGTAACGAGGGTATTGATCTGACCCACAACCCTGAATTCACCACTTGTGAATTCTACATGGCCTATGCCGATATGTACGACCTGATGACCATGACTGAAGAGTTGGTTTCGGGCTTGGTTAAGGAGCTCACCGGTGGGTACGAAACTGTCTTCCACAGCCAGGACGGCAAGGAGTACAACGTCAACTGGAAGGCTCCCTGGCGGCGAGTGGAGATGATGCCTGCCTTGGAAGAGGCCTGTGGGGAGAAGTTCCCCCCTAGTGATCAGCTCCACACCCAGGAGACCAATGACTTCCTCAAGAAGATGCTCAAGAAGATGAACCTTGACTGCTCACCGCCGCAGACCAATGCCCGCATGCTGGACAAGATGGTTGGTGAATTCATTGAAGACACCTGCGTCAACCCGACCTTCATTTTCGGCCACCCCCAGATGATGTCCCCCTTGGCCAAGTACGACCGTGTCAAGCCTGGTATTTGCGAGCGTTTCGAGGCTTTCTGTATCGGAAAGGAGATCTGTAACTCGTACACCGAGTTGAACGACCCCTTCGATCAGCGTCTGCGTTTCGAGGAGCAAGCCCGCCAGAAGGACCAGGGAGATGACGAGGCCCAATTGGTCGACGAGACTTTCTGTACCTCCCTTGAGTACGGACTACCCCCGACCGGTGGTTGGGGCTTGGGTATTGACCGTTTGGTCATGTTCCTCACCAACAACTACAGTATCAAGGAGGTTCTCACCTTCCCCTTCATGAAGGATGACAAGACCCAGGGCGAGACCAAGACTGCTGCCGAGGTTGTTGGAATTGAACCCCAGCCCGAGGAAGGAATTCGTATGTTATTAATATCCTGTAATTTCCACGAGCCAGTGTCACTAACATGCACCTTGCAGCCCACAAATAATTGAATTGAGTGTCTGAGTTGGAATTTTGGTGTACACCGGATATATTGGCCTTTCTTTCAGCCATGCGGATACAATGGATTTTACGAGGAATGCATCAGATAAGAAGAAGTTAGGTATCTTAAAATATTTGAAGCTTTGTGTCGCTTTACTTCACACTACACTACCCTTTGACTGCTGGACTATTTGTATACCTAGACCATATACTACTACTAACATTGAAATTGGGTTATGGCACTTGGCGGTTGTCGGCCGCCGCACATACTGCTACATACTAGTACTATGTGCCAGTTGACCCCCATTTCTTCAAGTTATATGTTGACATGCTGCATAGGATCATCCCAAGTTAAGATGCCGTATGGCCCGTATCCTGGAAGAAGCCGTTAGGCAATGCATAATAAATAAAGAACACTCTTCTTCAATCTCTACCTACCTTCTCCAACACTCTCTCTATCTTCCCATCATCATTACTAGTTGCATACTTCCATCATATTTCTTTTTTGGTTTGTTAATTCTTTTATCAACTGGGTCAAATATTCTTTCTCTAGCCATGAGTAGGGTATCGCAAGATCCTCCACTGGATAGGCCACCTCGAGACCCTTCGGTTTATGCTGAACCGCCTGCATGTGGCTATTTTGACATACTTCCTCCAGGTCTGGGACATGCACCGCCCTATCTCTATGGGGGATGGCCTCATCATAACCCTTATCCACATGCATTGTCCGAACCAGTCCTACCTCACAATCCATCTCTTGCATCATATCCAAAGCTTTATGGCGGTAGGGCTTGCGAAGGCACATGGTATCCCATTCAAGGAAGGCCGATTTACCCTACCCCCACAGATCCTGTAAGGCGAAAACCTGAACGTTCAAATTCTCCTTTCCAAAGCTCTTTCCTTTTCATTCTACCAAATTGTGATGGAACAACCCCCATGTTGATCAAGAAGCTTACTTTGACATTCAAAATTAGACGTTTTACCAAACACGTCGATTACCATCTCCTCGAGCCCCTTGGGTTTGTATCTCTAACCTGAATCAAAGTTGAAGTTTACTCAACACTTTATGTTCATTTTGCCAACTGATGATTTGAATAGGGCTACCAGCAAACCCTCGCCCCTCTCTCCATTCCTAACCTTCTGACCCCGATTGGGCACAACGGCATTTCACCTCCCCCATCCATTACAACTACCACTCCATCACCTCAGGCCAAAAGAAAACGAGACTCTCTCAGCAGCGACGTCACCTCACCTCCATCAAAGCGGCCAAAGAACTCCACGAAAGTATTCGAAAAGGCAACACCAAGTGTCCGCCAGGTTCAGGCGAAGAAAAGCACGAGCAAAACTTCAACTCGCAAAACACTTCCTATTGCATACAAGCTACCAATGCGGCCCAAAAACACCATGACGAAAGATGTCGTCGTCGAATTCACCGAGGTGGCCGCCCACACTGCAAAATGTGACACGTGCAACCACCGCAACAGAGACGGAATGACACGCTGCACTAAATGTGGCTGGCAATGCTGCCGCAGGTGCCTCAACGAGCGCGGTGGAAACAGAAGTCACAAGTCGTTCTCCGATATTCATGTCCCCGCTGACGAGACCAACGAGCCTGCACCATCTTCAGTCGCCGAATCCCCTGCTTTACCTGCACGAACCACAAGTGGAGCTGTTGCCAAACCCCGCAGCCCCTCGCCTGTTACTGCTGTGGATAACGCTCAAAGCGAAGGTGGAATGGTGAGCACAGCTGAGGACCGTGAGGCCGCCAACGCGTTGATCAATTTCTCATCCTCCCCTTCTGCGAAGAAGGACCCGGTTAGCAACGAAGGTGCGGACTTGGACCAACAGCATACCGTCACTAATTCTGGATCTGGGGAGACGGAAGGTGGCAATGTGGAAGTCGGTAATGATGTTCTGGGCTTGGTGGCTTCGCGAGGATGGATGTTCGATTATGAGATAGGAGGCGAAGAGTTCGAGAACCCCAGACGGAACCCATCTCGACGGGCGAGACCTATTGACATGGCTGAGTAAAGAAAGCTTGTGTGACAAGAACTGACCGAGTGTTTGACAATGTGGTTTTGGCTTTCTAAATTGCTTCAAATGGGGATTGTTTGACGACTACAGATATTAGAAGAACGTTTAGTTAAGAATGATCAATGACAGAAAGTTTTATTGAAATCTCAAGAATTTGTACAGTATATAGCATGGAATCAACAGTAAACTAATACAAGTGGATAATAAGTCAATCCAGAGAAACAGGAATGGAGATGGTATCAGAACAAACAAGGCACAGAGATTGACCAGAATCCTGCCTTGGTCAACGTATTCTTACATGCAAGCAATTCTCTTACAGTTGCTTCACGCCGCTCGAGCGTGACGCATAGGTCTGCGAGAACGAAACAGGTTGGCCACGACCCTTGGCAGCCATCTGCAACAGCTTCGCGGTACGAGACGGATTCCAGACACGGCTACCCAGAACCATGACCCAAGTCAAAAGCAACACACTTCCAGCTTGGTGGGCAGAAGCAAGCGGGATAGGAACGAGGTAGAGCAAGGTTGTGATACCGAGACCAACCTGCATGCAGGCGAAGCCCACAACACCGTGCATACCCTTACGCGCAGCGGCAGGCAAGAGACGCTTAACAGTGGGCGAGCGACGGCTGTAGGCCCACAGAGCCATAATCGAAGTAAAGGTAGTCATAGCGAGGATACGGTGATCAAGCTGGACAAGCGAGGGGTTCTCCAGCATGTTGCGCCACCAGAGGTCAGAACGATCTTCGAGACGAGAGTAGCGGGGATCAAACAGCTCTTTGGTTGGGGGTGCAAGACCGGTACCCATGTAGGGGAACTCATTGTAAATAAGACCAGCATCAAGACCAGCGACAAGACCACCAGACATGGCAGTAGTAAAGACCAGAAGAGCCAGACCAGCGACACAACGACGGAAGATTGCGAGACGAGGGTCGCGGAGTGCCTCGAGTTGCTTCAGTCCAGCCACGGGGTCCTTCATCAATCGGTGAGATCGCAAGATAGCGAGACCATTCCACAGCATAGCAACGTAGCAGGTGAAAGCAGCACCCAAGTGAGCGGTCAAACGGTACTGGCTGACACGAGGGTTGCTTCCTGGCGCAAAGAGATCATCCTTCAATCCAGACTTGACCATCCACCAGCCCAGGAAACCCTGGAATCCAATCAAACTAGCAATGCCAAAGAGACGGTAGGCCATAGGGCTGGAGACCTTCTTCCGGGCGACAAAGTAGACAGCGGGCAGGACAAACGATAGACCCACGAATCGGCCCCAGAGCCGGTGGATCCATTCCATGTAGTAGATCGATTTAAATTCGGACAGATTCATATGCGGGTTCAACAGCTGGAATTCGGGGGAGGCACGGTATTTCGCAAATTCGGATTCCCAGTCCTCCGCGTTCATGGGTGGCATAGAGCCAGTAACAGGTCGCCATTCGGTGATACTCAACCTGTATTCATATTTATCCCGTCAGCTTCCGCAACTCGATTTCTCTCTCTCCCCCTAGTTCCTCCCAATATAAGACACACGAAGGGATCCTCAATCGACTAACCCAGATTCAGTGAGACGAGTCAAGCCACCAAACACAACAATACCAAACACACTCGCTGCACTACCCAAAAGCCAATATGCGACGGACTTGGAACTGATCTTGGGCATGCTCGACTTTGCCTTGGTGGAAGTTTCCGCCACTGCACCCGAGACTGCATGTGAAGCGGCAGATTGACGAAGGCTATGAGTAAAGAATTGACGGTTCTTGTCGGTAAAGAGGGACGAGCGGGTCTTGTTTGGCTGAGCGGGAGGCATTGTGCCATATTGGCGGATGGATTTGGAGGCGTAACCCTGGTTTCGAAGGCATTGATGACATGTGGATAGGTCCTTGGACAGACGGGGCGCAAGACTCCGCCATAATGGCAGAGATTTGCCCAGAGAAGCCATGGTGAAGGTGAATGAGAGGGGAAACTGGAGAAGAAGAAAAAGCGAACCCTCGATTTACGGAGATCATGCGATTATTGCGGGTCATTTAGCTGTGGGACCAATCAGGAATGAGGGATTTGCTTGCCAATCGGAGTATGCACTGTCAATAGCGTCAACAGACGAGTACTTTCTGAATTGAATAAAATAAAATATTTTCTTATAATTTCACAATTTACAATGGCTCTCATAAATTAAGTCACTGGTTCTTTTAAATATCCCTAGTGTTCCAATGTGATTTGGTAGAGCAGTGACACAACATGCTGCCTGAGGCACCCTTGAATCTCTCTCGGAGCTCCAAATCGCGAAGTGCTCACCTTGTCCGATTCAACAACTTCATCATCCAAATCCACCATGTCGTACGCTGTGGAATCAAAGAAACGAAAATTCCACCGGGTCTTGGAATCTATTTCCAAACCTCTCGCTCCTGAAAATGCACCCAAACCCTCGGCGTCAGCGTCAACATCCACAGCCGCAGGCGCGCCGGACCGTCCGCCAGCCAGTCTCTCGATCAAAAAGGTCCGTCTGACCGACAACGATAGTTCCGATCCAATCTCTGTGCGAAATTCCATATTAAAGCCTTCCCGTCCCATATCTCGAACATCCTCATCTTCCTTGACGAAGCGCCCGACCTTTGTTCCTTGGGACCGCGACACCTTCCTCGAGCGACTGGAAACTTTCCGTCGGGTGGACCGATGGACTTATAAGCCTACACCGATCAATGAAGTGCAATGGGCTAAGCGTGGCTGGATTTGTACCGATTCTATGCGAGTGAGCTGTGTCAGTGGCTGCGGCGGCTCAGTAGTTGTGAAACTGCCCGATGAGATTGACGAGCTGGATGGATACGACGCAGACAAAGTCCAGGAGCGCAAAGAAGTTCGTAAGTTTCCCTACTGAATTTTCATATCGAGGAAGCTTCGGACTAAATGAATGGAACAGGTGCGACGCTCGTCGACGAGTATGCAAAGCGGCTAAGTGAAGCCCATGGTGAGAACTGCCCATGGCGCAATAAAGGTTGTGATGGTATGTCTAAAACAAATCTTCGAGTATCTCTCTTCAAATTTTGACATTATTCCAGCTACTATTCAGCATCTGCAATTAGCAAATACAGACACGGCTATTGCTAAGCTCCATGATCGTTATGTGAACATTGTAAATTTGGGTGATAAATTACCAGCCGAAAGCGCTATTGAAACCCCCGAAGGATTCGAAATGGCTGCCCTCATCAAAATCTTACCTACGGAGTGGTTCAAGGACTCTGACAAGGCCCCAGAGGCAACTAGCTCCGAAGCAGAACCCAATGAAGAGGCCGGAACCCCTACACCACAACCCGCAGCAGAGCCATCGAAGCTCGTGAATCAAACAGCACTTGCAATGGCTTTCTTTGGGTGGGATTCTGTCGCCGATGGAGCTGCAGGCCTAGTTGGATGCAAAGCCTGCTTTCGCCGACTGGGTCTATGGATGTATAAGCCCAAGGCAAACGGAGATGTCACAGTTTATACATCTTTGGATGTTGTTTCAGAGCACATGGATTACTGTCCATGGATTGATCCAGTGACACAGAGTGGGACAGGCAAACCGAATGAAAAGACGGATGGTTTGCGCAGTGGATGGCAGGTCGTGGCCGAGGCATGCAAGGTGAAGCACCGCCGACAACTCCGATCTGTCGCATCTACGGGTATGATGAATAGTAGACCCAGCACGCCCCTGGAGGAGTCGATTCCTAATGAGGGAAATGGCGAAAGCCGGAAGTCCACAGACCGCGAGTGGTGGGCCAAGATCCGACGCATACGACAATCCTTATCGTCCAAATCTCCAGGCCGGAAATCTGTTCTGCCCAAATAATACCCTTGATGTTCCTTCGTGATGTACATTTTCATTTGTTTCGTTCCTAGCATTTACCATTTATACGGCGTTTTGGGATCGAAATATGAATGACCGGACCTCGGGAGGAAACTTGTCTAGTTCAAACATTGAATGTGCATATAATCATGCCTTTTATCCTTATACCTAATACTAGAGTGGTCTGAAATTTTCCAGTACAACTGATGGGTGTATTTAATCTGCTGTCAACCTCCAAGGTTACGTCCGAGATTGCATGCGTATTTTCTGTACTCCATACTCCAGAGTCCAGAATCAGATACACATGAACTTCCAACATTTGAACGCCCTTCACCTTCCCAGGCGCTTGGAACCCTGTCAGTGAAAGTCTCCTTGCTAGTATCTCCCAAAGACTTTTTGACCATATACTACTAGTAGTATAGTAGCACTGTAATGTTTTAAACCTTGGAATTAGAGCCATGTAGGCATATCAACAGTACAGTGGCTTTTCATAAGTTTCCATCCTTCCATTCTCACCGCTCTTATTTCTGACGCACCAAAACCTAGTATTCTGCCGTTACAAAATCCAATTATTCCATTCTATCTATCATCGTGAGCAGGCGGTCATTATATTAAGTTTAGTTTAAATACAGGTCTTGAAGTCGTATACTATTACTAATAATATGATGAATGTTTTTATTTGTACGCGCTAGAACGTGTCTATATAGAGTAGGCGTTACCTACTGGTGTAGGCGGTGAAAAATGGCGGTGAAAACTGAGAGATGGAAACTTATGAGAAGCCACTGTTGTACAGTACGTCTATCAGTAGTAGGATGTTCGCTTTCATTGGTTCCCGCCTCTAAGACCCATAGCGGAGCTCCCTTCCTCTTAGAGGAAACTCATCTCTTCACACCTATTCCGTACAGCCTTGATTGATTTAACTTGATCCTTCATTATTGCTCGTATCTCCAAGGAGACCCTTCTTCATTTTATTACCTTTTTAAGCATTTTGTGCACCAGCATCGCCATATCTCCACCTACAAAAAACCTCCAACCTTGAAATCCCAATCTTTTTTTCAGCTCGACTCACCAACCACTCCTCTTCCTTACAAAATGGACCGCTCGCCCGGCTCAAGACCAGGAGCTCATAGAATGTCCCAGGAAGCGAACAGAAATGGAGCATCGGCTTCACCAGGAGCTTCAGAGCGCAGGTTCAACGACGACCACGGCGCAGGAACCGATAACCAGCAGAACACGTCCGGTCATACCTCCAAACGCAGACGAATGCAAGAAAGCCAACGAAAGCGCGGCCGTACGCCACCTTCGGTCTTCTCACGGCGTGATCGCTCACGCAGCCCTCACAACCCTTCTCGCGAGCCCCAATCTCGCCGATCTCGCTCTCCCCTCCAACCTCGTAGTCCTCCACCCGCCGATGATGCGCCCAAACGCAAGCGGCCAGGCGGTGGTGCCCGCATGGGAATAGTTGACCGGGAGACCATCAGACGGAGACAAGAGGATCGTGACCGTCAAGAATTGGAAGATGCAGAGCGAATGTCCCGGGGTCGCGGTGTGTCCGATGTAGTGCGACAGCACTACAATGCGGTTCCCGAGCGTGGCCGCGAGTGGCGCAAAACAGAGAGTAAGATAAAGGGGCTGCGTAGCTTCAATAATTGGGTGAAGAGTACGTTGATTCAGAAGTTCGCGCCGGATGAGGAATTCGGGGCGCGCTTCAATGATACCAAGGATTGGGCGGATGATAGCATGGGTCCACCTCCCGTGGATGATAAGAAGCTTCTTGTGCTTGATTTGGGATGTGGAAAGGGTGGTGATTTGGGGAAATGGCAGCTTGCACCGCAGAAGGTGGAACTTTATGTTGGACTGGACCCGGCCAATATCTCTATCGAGCAGGCGCGGGATCGGTACGCCTCTATGCGGTCTGGTCCTGGGAGACAGCGGGGTCGGCGCCCGCCTCCTCCACTATTCCATGGAGAGTTCCAGACGAAGGATTGCTTTGGCGAGTCGCTGGGCGATGTCCGGATCATTCAGCAGGTTGGCTTTGATGCAAATGCTGGTCCCGGAGGGTCTATTATGGCGTCGCGATGGGGTGCAGGAGGTGGGTTTGATGTTATCACATCCATGTTCGCGATTCATTATGCATTCGAGAGCGAAGAAAAGACGCGCCAGATGCTGAGCAATGTCGCTGGATGCCTGAAGAAAGGTGGTCGGTTCATCGGAGTGTGCCCGAACTCGGATATGATCACAAGCCGTGTCAGTGCGTACCATGAACAGCGTCGAGGGCGTGAGGCCGCCAAGCCTCCCCAGTCTGAGGCTCCCGAAGATGGAGAGGTTGAAGAGGAGGAGAAGTGCGAATGGGGCAATGATATCTATCGTGTCCGATTCCCTGGTGCGACCCCCGAGGACGGTGTCTTCCGTCCGCCATTTGGATGGAGATATACCTACTTCATGCGCGAGGCCGTCGAGGAGGTGCCTGAATATGTCGTTCCCTGGGAGGCATTCCGAGCGTAGGTGCCGAGTCATCTTCATTTGCCATGCTTATCACTAATCTGCCATCCTAGTCTGACCGAGGATTATAACCTTGAGCTGCAATATCGTAAGCCTTTCCTGGATATCTGGGAAGATGAGAAGAACGACCGCGAGCTGGGACCGCTCAGTGAGCGTATGGGGGTTAGAGATCGGGCTACAGGTGCTCTGGCAATGACAGAGGAGGAGAAGGAGGCGGCCAGTGAGTATACATCCATTCCTAGAACACTCGGGCAGTTGTTAATCATTCCTAGGTTTCTACCACGCCTTTTGTTTCTACAAGGTCTAAAGAAGCTGTACCAAGACCTCCTTTACTATTGTGAAAGTGAATTTTTTTAGAATTGCTTTATGAAATGTAGATTTTTACACTAGATACTAAACATTCGATACTACCAGATCCTACTTGGAAGTGTCTGACCATCGTGATCTTTCCATACATGCGGCCACTACATACTACTACTTATAGTGATACGCGATAAGCGATAAGGGATTGGGCTTATCTCTTATCGCGTCCATTTGTAGCCTGATCAGGACTAGTGCGGGTCGCGACGCGTTTTGGGTCAAGTCTTTGAAGATGCACTTCTTTGTTCACAAGTCACACCAACGCAACCTACTCCTTTTCAATCTATCCCAAACTCGAACTCGTCCACTGCTCAAGACAACGCAAGCCATAATCACAATCCCAATTTCCAACTGTGAACCCCGAGGCGTCTGGTCTGAGAAGAAATGATGTACTCGACCCCCGCGCGCCAGCGGATGTCACAATCGCGCGCACCATCAAGCGCACAATCTCGCGGTCCCTCGAGCGCACAAAGAAGCACAGCCTGGTCAACAAATGTCCCTGAAATGCCACCCTATGAACCTCCCTCGGACCCTCTCAACTTCGAAACCAATCGCCAGCTAAAAGCATTGCTCTCCAGCAGTAACTACAGAGACTTGGGGATCCATATCTCCCATGCTGTGCAAGAACTCACCAACTCAGGAGGCGATGTAAACGAGCGGCTCCAAGAAGCGCGGATGCGCTACGAGACAGCCAAAGAACGGCGACGCGCTAGGGCCCAAAGGAAAGACGCGGAGGGTGATTCTAATGAAGAGGAGGATGCCGATGAAAATGAGACTGAAGAGATGGAGGAACTTGGTGTCTTGGAGCGCAAAACTGACGAGGTGACCAGACAGATGGAAGAAAAGGTCCGCAATATGATTGATATGACGTTCAGGCTGGAGGAGCTGGCCAAGTCTGTTGAGCACGTTAATCGAGACGAAGATGCACAAAATGCCAATATGGAGCCGAGGAGAACGAGGGCAGGTGGGAGGCAGCAGCCAAGAGGAGATGATGATGAGGATGGGGACGACCCGGCGGATGAGAATTTTGAGGTGGCGCAGGATCAGGAAGCGAGAGAGCGCTATTCTCAGAATCCACCGAGTCGAAGAGTGCGGGAGGGTATTGAAACTGGGGCTCAGAAATGGGACGGGATGACCTTGACTGAAAGGTATGATCTTGCTGGTGGCTGCGCTATATATACTATATACGGCTGGTACTATCTTCACCGGTATATGACTAACTATGATATCCAGATATGCTACTCATAATTCCTACGTTGGGTTTTACCGCGCAGTGCATGATAGCAAATTCCCCCACAACGAAGCCCCGCCTCTGCCACATTCATCGACTTGGTTCCAATATATGGAAGATCCCGACACATCCTCTGCAACACAGTCTCAAAATACCTCTGGTCGACGGAATCGGTCTGGGCGCGGTCGTCAGGAGCCCTCAGCTCCGGATTCGGATGATGATATTGCTATTCAGAGAGAGATCACTTCTTTAAAGTGCCCCCTTACATTGCTCCCATACCAGGACCCGGTTACCAGCACCAAATGTCCACACAGCTTCGAACGCGAGGCTATCCACAACATGATTGCACGCAGCAATACTACAATTGCTGTTCGCCAAGGGCGACGCGAGCGTTCAGTCAAATGTCCAGTCTGCACCACTCCTTTGACTGCAGGTGATTTGCAGCCCGATGCGGCTCTGCTACGTCGGGTACAGCGCGCCAAGCGGTTGGCTGAGCAGGAAGCAGAGGAAGATGAACCTCGGTCAGCGGGTCATCGTAACGAGGTCACCTTGGGGAGCGACGATATTGATGACGATATGGAAGTGGACGTTGATGTGGATTTAGACGAAGAAGTTAAGCTTCCGGTTTCTAGTGCACGAGTCAAAGCCGAACCCATTGACGGGGCCATGTCTACTAATGATGACGAGGAAAATGAGGAGTCTGATGAAAGTGAGGGTTCCGAGGAATCAGCAAACCAGGATGAAGATGTGGATATGGAATCAAGCGAAGATGCAGAGTCTGAGGAAGAAGAGTGAGCCATGTAATAGAGAGCTAGCTTACCTTCAGTGATAAGTGCGATTGGCATGCATTTTTGGAAAAGATACGAGTGTCCACGTGAAAAGTCGCTGCATTATCGATCCAAATTCTCGTCTTACTATTTGTCCTCGGTTCTTTTAGCCTTTTTTTTTTTTCTCTTCCTTTTCAATTTACCTTTCCACATGTGAAGAGATGTTTCTTTTACGAGGTTTCCCTTCGATTTCAACGTTTCCTTCAGCCGGATGAAGTAACGTCAACTGTAGATAGGCAGTGTTTCAATATATGAGATATTGGCAATGCTACGTATTCGAATTCCCATCTACCTTGGTCTTATCAGTGGGATTTGGAATGCGAAACAGACTCGAAACAGACTCGGTATTTATTTCCCTGAAAGAATTGACGCTAAACCGAGAAGAGTAAAAGCTGACATGTCTATTCTCCCATTGGTTGAAGATCTGACTAAGTATAACTTGCAGAACTTGAACTAGTTAAGTAGTTAAGTAGTACTAGTAAGTAAGCTACTAGTAACTACATGTGGACTTGGCTTGTAGGGCTCTTGATCTCTCTCTCTCTCTCTCTCTTCAGCCACTGCAACGATCCAGATGTCGATACCACATCAACGCCTATCACGCGGTTTGTGCAGTGAAGTGTAACTCTGAAGTTAATCAAAGCGGAGAACAAGATCCGTTCCAATGTTGTTTATCCCCAACTCAATCAACCAATCGCCTCGTCGGCTGACTCGAGTCCCCGCAAAACGCAGCTCTAAAAGCCTGAAGCTAAATGGGATTTAGCGGTTGGGGATCAAGCCGGGATGTTACCTTAACTCGTGGTCGTATTCTTTTGGGGAGGCTTTTTATCATTTTTTATCATTTTCATTCTTTAGCTTATTCTCTTTGTTTTTCAAACGTCAACTTCCCTTTATCTTATTGCTCTTTCCTCTCCAAATCTCTTCTTCCTTACTCAACTTTCAACTTTCAACCTTCATCTTTCCTTCCAATTACTTTTTTCTTCCCCATATCCTCTTTGGCTTTTTTCTTCTCTTACAAAAAGAAAAGAAAAGAAAATAGTCATGGCTGATACGGAAGAAAATCCCAAGTCTGCCGAAACTCGCACTGAGAACTACGAATCTTCCTTCGACGACTCCCAGCTCCCGGCGGGATGGATGTACAAACCACTGCGCATTGGTAAGCTTACCACCTGGTATGCTTCGCCCGGCTTCCAGTTGGCCATGGTCGCCTTCGTTTGCTTCATGTGTCCCGGAATGTTCAACGCCTTGGGTGGTCTTGGTGGAGGTGGTAAAACCACCAACACTTTGGCCGATAACATGGTAGGTGATCCGATTCTTTTCCCCAGAAAAAAAAAACTCCACATTCCCCAGATTATTCCCCACGTGGCTCGGCTCTCACTAACAACTTCATCTCTTTTTGGGTCACATAGAACACTGCGCTGTACAGTACCTTTGCTGTCATTGGTTTCTTCGCTGGAACCTTTGTTAACCGTATTGGTGTTCGTCTGGCCTTGTCTTTCGGTGGCGTAGGTTATTGCATCTATGCTATCAGTTTGCTGGTCTCCGAGCATGCCAGTGTTGGCGGCTTCAATATCTTCGCGGGCGCTTTGCTGGGTGTATGCGCAGGCTTGCTGTGGGCCGCTCAGGGTGCCATCATGATGTCGTACCCTCCTGAGCAGAAGAAAGGTCACTACTTTGCTTGGTTCTGGGCTATCTTCAATGTCGGCGCTTGTATTGGTGCTTTGGTAACAATCCCCCCTCTTGCCTGCCTTGGTGAGACACCAGTATATGCAGATCGAAGAAACTAACGGTTCATATCTTTCTCTCTCCAGATTCCTCTTGGCCAGAATATTCACGTCACCACGAAGAAAAATGTCACGGACGGAACCTACATCGCTTTCATCGTGCTCATGGCCTTTGGAGCTGTCCTGGCTCTCTTCATCTGCGACGCTGATAAAATCATCCGTCCGGACGGTTCTCGCGTGATTCTGATGAAGAGTCCCACCTGGAAGACCGAGTTCATCGGTCTCTGGGATACCATCCGCTCACAGCCGTACATCGTTCTGCTCTTCCCGATGTTCTGGTCCTCAAACTGGTTCTACACCTACCAGATGAACAGTATCAACAATGCCTACTTCAACACCCGCACCAAATCCCTCAACAACTTCCTTTACTGGTTCGCTCAAATCGTAGCTGCCGTCATCATCGGCCCACTCCTGGATATCAAATCGATCCGCCGCAGCACCCGTGCGCGCATCGCTTTGGGAGTTCTGTTTACCCTCACCATGGCCATCTGGGGCGGTGGCTATGCCTGGCAGAAGAAATACACCCGCGCAACCATTGCCGAAAAGACCTTCCAGCCCTGGGACTGGACGACCCCTGGATTCGTGGGCCCAATGTTCCTGTACTTCTTCTACGGCTTCTACGACGCCGTGTGGCAGGGTACCGTATACTGGCTGATGGGTGCTCTCGGTAACTCCGGCCGCAAACTCGCCAATTTGGCTGGTTTCTACAAGGGTCTTCAGTCTGCTGGTGCGGCCGTGATGTGGTCTCTGGATGGAGAACACAATCTGGCCTACATGAATGAGTTTGCTTCCAACTGGGGCCTTCTGTGTGGATCGCTCCTAATTGCTGCACCGGTGATTCTCTACAAGATCCAGGACACGGTTCCCATCGAGGACGATCTGGAAGGTACCGGTGAGACCATTGAGGATGTCCTATCCCCTGGTGTGATTCGGGAGAAGACGGCTCTGCATGATTAGGTGGATTTCAAAGTTTGTTTTGTTTGCGCTGGTTTGCACACACGGGAATAAGGGTAATGAGAGGCCATCGGTGATTTACAAGAGGCCATTCCCTTCTGAATTGATGATTGATAAATTTTAGGGGAATACCATAGCCTAAAGGGTAGGTCGAGGATGTCGCTCAGCCTTCAAGTTTCCGTGTTCATAATGGAGTCCGGGATCAAGGATATGCCAGTTTTAAATGTTCAATCTTACTTACCGGTAGTTTTACATCAATTTTCAATCCAGTCAATCAATTTGATGTTCTGAGAAATTGCTTTTGATATTACCTACTGGTATGGCCGACACTCATTGTCTCCTATAAGACCTCTGCGTCACCATTAATGACCCAGTCCTAATATTCCAGTGAAAAAGAGAAATGTTGACTCATCTCAAAATAAGAAACAAAAATCCCCATAAATGCCCATCAATCCTCAAGTTCCCTCTTTAGTGTTAAATCCGAGACAGACGCGCGAAGGTTTTCCGCGCCACGGGACATCCAGTCATGGGATCTATTCATGTGGGATGACGGAATTCCGTGCCTGAGTCATAATACACCTCGGGCAATTAAGAATACCCTAGAGCTTAGTATATGGGAAAGAAATTCCGTGAACATGGAAAGTGAAACATTCGTTTTTATTCACTATATGACATCGCCGGGATGGATAGGTGACAATGACAGGCAAAAGAACAGATGGGGACAAGACAGACAAGACAAGACAATGAATTGTGTGGGGTATTCGCCTGTCGAATAAAAAGAAAGAGGAACATAGAAGAATAGAACACAAGCAGGGAGGAACAGTGAGACAGTAAGTATAAAAGGCACCAGTGTAACAATGAAAGAAACCCGGTTGTCAATTCGGTTAGCGTGGACTTTGAACTTTGTCCTCCATTCCCGCGGGAAACTTGATATCCGGTCCTCGAAGGTGGAGTTCTCATTACCTCGGACAGACGGGATACATGTGTTTAGTTCCCGTAACCACAAAAAAAAAAAAAACAATAACCATAAGAATATTCATTCCGGGTTCGCGTCAACGTAAGCATAAGCGATGAGAGACACATTGAGCTCATGCAGGTAATAATGTCAGGCGGTACAGTAACGTTGTGCATGGCAAACATTTCGAGGAACCATGTCTCACGTAATATATGTCGGGTAGAAGGATGGCTGTGTGAGGTGCTTGCAGAAAGTCGATTCAAGTTGACTCGAGAAGCGAGACATGGCAAACCGTACTAGCATTCAGTTTTGCATTTTCTGAATTTCCCATTTTGGATTGGGTGTAGGGGGGGGGAATAATATCGCCTGTGCATACTCCGTAACCGGGGTCGTTCACTCCAAAAAATAAAAAATAGACCAGTGGCGTTCAGAAGAATGGCGTATGAATAATAGTCGCAAAGTGATGAGGGTGATCTAGTGAAATTTATTTGGTAATAAGGTTGAGGTAATCAGCCACGATGAGGGTCACCATACTGCAGATCCGATCTCAAGTTAGCTGTTGTGGGTCCAATATAGAAGTAAGAAAGTGGGGGCAGGAACTAACGCATGAGGAGCGATCCGCACGTAATAAGTGCCAAAGCCACGGTAAAAGCGCAACCAACCCTCCTCCGCAACAACCTTGCGCGCACAATCCAAAACACCCCGATAGGGCACGAGGCCTGTCTTCGGGTCCTTCTGCTGCTTCTGCAACCGTGTCTTAATAAAGTCAAACGGCAATGAAAGGAAACTAGCAAAGAAGCCCGCAATGGCGGACGCCGCAAATGTCTGACTCTGTGTCGACAAGCTTGTATGCTGCTTAAGCTGTGCCTTGGACTCGGCGAAGAAGGTCAACTGTCCCATATTAAGGGCCATGGCCCGAATAACCGTCGGACACGCACCCGCCCACAAAGCCGCGACACCTTCTGTGCTCGAGATGCGAGCCAGCGCATCAAAGACGGAACGGTAGTTTGCGCGCGCGGCGACGGGCTTGAGGCCATCAGATTGCATACGGACAAGGGCCAGGTCGGCTGGGTTTCCAATCATAGCCGCAACGCCACCGGCGGTCAGGCCAGCTGCGGCGCGCTCAGCGAAAGTGACTTTTCGGTTTGCCGATTCGGCGTTTGCGTTGAGAGATTTGATGAAGGTGTCGAAGAGACCCAGGCGGGCGGTGGTGTAGACTGCTTGACGGAGGAGACCGGCGGAAAGGCCAGTGTAGAGGTCAGCGACTTTGCCGGCGGCGATGATGTCGCGGGTGATTCCGAAGGCGGAGGGGCGGGGGCCGGTCTTTCCACCTTCACCGGCGAGCTGGAGACGGACTTTGACCATATCGACAGGTTGAATTACTGCGGTGGCGGTCATACCGGAGAGGCCGCCGTTGATGAAGGGAAGGGCGGCACGGAGGTATGGGTTTTGGAGGATGGTGGTAGTAGTAGCTTGAGTAGCTGGGCTGGAAGCAGCCACGGCTGCGGTGCTGGGGGAATCTTTGATGGAATTGGAGGCCATGATGGTCATGCAGGATTCAGACCAGGTATTCTGTGAAATGGAAAGTTCGATGGTTAGTTTGGGTTGGAAAGGATTTCCGGAGCGCGAGTAGGCATTTTCTCTCTATTTTCTTTCCATGCATCGTATCTGGGGATGGATTACCATATACTGACCAGAAGATATTTTGAATTTCAAAAGGGAAAGTCGGTGAAAGTAGGTCGATTTGTGTCGTGTGCTTTATTCTGTACCTTTTGATCGGAGTTAGAAGCCACGGCGGAAGTTTCATGCGGTCCAGGGAAACATGGAACTCACCGATGACGTTGAAGCTTAAGAGTATTTTTGCAACGTTTGGAAAAAAGGGAGATTCCACGGATGAGAAAAGGAGAGGACAAGAAGACAAGAGGAAACACCAACAAGAGATCACAGTGCGGGGGAAAATGTGTCAAACCTTGGAAAAGCACCAATGATACTGAGTGACACTCGGGAATACTTGGGGGCCTGGGCTTGTTCTATATACCTTTTTCTTTTTCAATTTTTTTCAATTTTTTCCTATTTTTATAATCTAATCTTATTTAGTGTCTTCTTTACCTCGGATACTAGCTCCATCCTCTGGAATTAGCGGCAGAGGGAAGAAGATTGAATCCACCCCGCGAACAACCGGGTCCTTGGACCGATTGTTCGCCGTAAGTTCTCCGGAGAGGGAGCTGTGGGGAGGAGAATGACGGGTTTGGTTCTTCCATGTGGACCAATTACGTCGATCCCAATGCATTTATCAGTTGTACTTGTTAAAATGCGGGGGTTAAAGCTTGTCATGTGTACGAAGATTCGGACAAAAACGGGGAGGGAAGGAGGGGAAGAAGAATGACAAGATGATAATTCCCATTGATTTCCCATCAAATGCATTTGATTTTCCAATGCTCTACATTCAAGTGATGTAGCAAATGTAGCAAAACTTGTCAAAATCAAACTGGAAGCTCTGATCTACCTGGTGGAGATGATATTCTCCACGTCATGAACCCCAGACCGCATTAGTGTCACGGGTCAACCCCACTTCCCTGACTAATCACTGCTTAGCTAACTAACACGAGAATCCATCGGGATTCTGCTAAACTATTAGCTGGGTGGACTCGCTTTCTTCCATTCAAAATTATTATTTGAAGTTCATGTACCAATTTCAATGCGTCATGTCAGTCTCCTTTGTCCGGGTAAGAAGTTCAATGACGGAATCTCCCCAACTCGGTGGGACGGATCTTGTCTCCAGATCGGCTATTCCTCAATAATATTCTCCCGCTTCCACTTCCCGTACCGAGGGGAACAATATATCAACCATACACAAGAGAGGATGCTAAACAGGGTGGATCCAGCCCATTACACTCTAGCCCACCAAATAGCCACCACGCTAGTCCCATCATTCATTGCCCCTGGCCCGCCTCTCGACCAATGACACCACCAACAATGCCAATGAGATCTTCCCCTAGCGCGAACAGGACTTTGTTGAGGCAAAACATTTAGTCCCACCGCCATGGAATCCTCCGATCCTTAACCTTCACTGCCATTTCATCCGCCGATAACCGGAACTTCTCTGCACTCAATGGCTCTTTCAGTTTCAACCATTGGCCCCTGACGCCTGACAGCTATAGAGCCCCCCCCCCCCACAGGTCACTATCCCCAGACGCCCATTATCGGAGCCATGGCCTCGAATCACGATCAGACAGTGACGGGGCCGGTGGAGCGGTTATCATCGCGCGGAGGACATCAGTCCGTCTTCTTGATCTTGCTATTATACTCTCCGCAAGCTTGCGGGTTCAATAATCTGACGCCCTGGCAATCATTGCCGGTTTGCCGTTGTGAGATCATCACGGCGGAATAAACTCGGTTATAGCAAACATCAGAGAGGGCTCGTCGGCTTAGCTGGGAACCTGGGATACGAGACATATCCACTCCCATTGAAAATCAAGTGTTGCAGCGAACTACACTTTCCAGGTCAGTGGCAGTGGCCGTGGTCTATCCCGTGAATCTTGATTTTACTGCGTATATCCGATACTCTTCCCCGTGGAGCGGTCTCTTCGTCAAATACATGACGGCCATCTCCGAACTCCCCGATAAAAGACCCAGATTTTAGATAACGATGCTCCGTTGAAACTCTCATCTATCCATTTTCGCTCACTTGCTCCAAGCACAGATACAATAGACTATACTCCAGGGTCCGTGTGCAAGGTACTCATATGGGCTCTTCCCCCCAACAAATCCCCCATCATAGATCACAATAATCAATTCTGGGCATTCAATAGTGTCAATCCAATCTCCAAGGTCCCTATATCTTGGCTTTGAATCTTAGATCCAGAACCCATGTGCAGCTCATAAGCCCCACTGGGCCACTGCCAAGCAATCCATCCAATGCCTTCAAGGGCCCCAACAGATACCAAACCCACCGGAAGATCCAATACATAGCCTCAATTCCACCACCTGTCAGCTTCTTCTCCATCGTAAACAAAGCCAGGAAAGCAATAATAGAAAGCCGGAATCCACCCGCCCCAACAATCACCCTGCATAATCTCACCACTACCCGCGGCCCGCCCAAACTTACAGGCTGTTGAGCGCGTTCCACTTCCGCGGAAAATGCGCTCGGCATATTTAGGCCCAGAACAACGGGATTCAATTCTAGTCGGGGGGCCGAGGGTATTCCGACGGCAAAGCGGGTGGGTAACGGGATGTGGTAACGGGATCGGTGGGGTGCTTCGGCAGTGGGGGGTGGTACCTACTACCACTACTAGTACATTGTTTACATGAATGTGGGGGGAGTCCTTCAAACATTGAATGTTTAGAATGCTACTTACTCAAATAGTTTGGACAAGTTAGCCCTCCAGAATGCTGAATCAGAAAACATGGACATGCATTTGTCCAAAATGTTCATATTGTGGCTAATTCCATACTGGTGGCCCCGTCAGCACAAACATTGAAGAAATATTAGTAGGATTCAGGCGACAACACAGCCGTTGAGCGAAAACCACCAACCCCCAATTTTTGTCCCACTGAAACCTCTTCGTCATGCGCTTGCTTTACACCGTTGAACATATGTAGTGCTATTCTAATGCAGATTTGGTCACAAATTCCTTATCTTGGCTCTTTTGAACAAGATCATAGAACAATCCTTTAGCTTTCAACAACTCCGCTGGAGTTCCGATTTCTCCAACGCGCCCATCATCGATGACAATCACTTTATCAAAAGACGCGACTGTTCTCAAACGATGAGCGACGACAATCAATGTGCGGTTAAACTCGCTTCGTATCGTGTCCTGAATCCACAGATCCGTCTCATTGTCGACAGCAGATGTCGCCTCATCGAGAATAATGATCTTAGGGTCCCGGATCAATACTCTTGCAAGGCAGAGAAGCTGTCTTTGACCTTGCGACATGTTTGCCCCACCGGGACTGATCGGGGAATCCAGGGTGAATAATCCTGTTCTCTTTTCATCGTCCTCCGATAGGAGCTTGACCCGGCGTAACGCATCGTTCAGTTTGTCTTTTGGAACTTCTTGGAAGTAATCCAAATTGGACCTGACCGTACCGGAGAACAAGACCGGATCTTGAGGAATAAACGCAATTTTTGATCGGAGTGACTGAAGCTTGATCGTGGAGATGTCAATGCCGTCGATAAGAATGGAGCCACGTTGAGGGTCGATGAGGCGGAGAAGTGCCAAAGTCAAGGACGATTTTCCGGCTCCAGTACGACCAACAATTCCTATCCTTTGGCCAGCTCCCACGGAGAAAGAGATATCCTTCAGGACAAGAGGGAGATTGGGTGAGTATGAAACGCTCAATCCTTTGACTTCGACCTCGCCCCGAGATGGCCAGGTCGTTGGAACATCGTTCCCGTCTTGCTCCTCTCCTTTCAGTTTCGAATATGAGATTATACCTACAGCTGCATTCATGTAATTTTCAAGCATGCCAAAGTTGTTGACAGCAGTGAATGTAGCATGAGAGAATCCCATTGAAAATGTCAGGGAGAATCCCACCAAAGATGCATCCAAGACGGACTTTGACGACAGACAGACGAAGCCTGTGCCCGCGCTTAATACGACACCTATAAGACTCATCTGAAGACCGAGCCAGCGATTGAAAATCCAGAAATGCCGCCGGACGATGGACAGTTTGTCAACACGAGAGTGCATATGGTCAATAAATGTATCCACTGCCCTGAAAGCCCGGATAGTCGATACTCCGGCAGCAGCCGTAGTTAGGTACTCTAGTATATCGGCGTTGGCTTCAGATTCACCACGCTTTAAGGGTTTCCGAGCCTTAATATAGCCTTTGCTGACTTGAGAGCACCAGAAGAGAAGAGCTGCTGCCAAACAGCCTGTGAAGAAAGATCTTTGTACTCTAGGCAGTATCGTTAGCTGAGTCATTGAGCAAAAATTCGGGAGATTCGGAAGCCTTACCCAATATACCCCACAATAACCAATTTCACTAGACAGTTCGCAAACTCAGACATTGTATGCAGTAGAAAATCATCAACCAGTCGTATATCAACACTGAATCGCTTCAGGATTCCCCCGAGGGGCGTATTGTCGAACCAGATAAGGGGCATTCGGATGACATTTACAGTCATGGCACGAAACAAAGTCTCTGAAGCACGCAGTGATCCCGAAAATATGTGCATATTTGAGAGGAACTCAAGGACCACCGCGGATAGACATCCTAGAAGATACATGTAGAGGTAATACCACAGATGCTTTCCAGTGTCGGCATTTGACAAATCAGATGATCCGCGTTTTGAATTGATACGCCCGAGAGTCCATGTAGTCAGTGCAGTCACTATCTGCTTGCCAAGCAAGCCGAGAATGTATATTGCTGCAAATTGAAGGCCGCCAGCAGCGCTGAAATAACTCTTGTAAGACTCCCACTCCGATTCTGGTTTGGGAGTCTCGGTCTTTAGCTTGACACTGGCAGGCTTGCTGACTTCCTCTTTTGTCGGTGGAATCGACGAAGTATCGAACTCTGGCTCCAGGTTATCCAACTTGGGGTCAATCATGTTCAAATTGAGTGACGAGCTCATGGTATTGTTTTTGATTTCAACGACAAGTTTAGCCCGAGGCAAACACAAAGATATATGGTGAGTTGCAAGAATCCGTGTGCGCCTATTGCTGAGCTCTCCAGTCAGTGCCCTGAATATGTCCTTGGAGACATGAGAGTCAAGCGCAGAGAATATATCGTCCAATACCAGTAGCTGAGCGCTTGAATAGAGAGCTCTGCCCAAAGAGACTCTTGCGCGTTGACCACCGCTAAGCTTCACACCCCGAAGACCAATGTAAGTCTTGTCCCCTTTTGGAAGAGCAGCAAGATCGGTCTCAAGCGCACATGCCCTTAGAACTTTTCTATACCTAGTCTCATCCAGTTCACTCCCAAACAGGATGTTATCTTTGATGGTTGCATTTTGAAGCCACGGGGTTTGTGAAACAAAGCCAACCGATTGCTCCAACGACGGTACCTCAATGCGACCGCTCAGAAGATCGACTTCGCCGAGGATAGCCGCAAGCACCAAGCTCTTTCCTGATCCTGTTTCCCCATGTATAACACTAAGTTCACCCCGGGGAAATTCGACATCAAGGCTATGGAGCTCAAACCTCTCGGGTAAGCTAGATTGCTTCTCTTGGTGCTTCTGTTTTTGATCTGATGGCCAGGCAATTTGCGCATTTTGGAATGCCACACAGCCAGTAGGACTCTCATCTAGAATGTTTTCCATTTCTGGGGCTTTCAAAAAGGTCTCCATGCGGCGAGAGTTTGATCGAGCAGCGAGATAATCTTGCACCACCAAAGGAACCGTGCCCAGTGCTCCTTGGATATGTGGCAACAACTCGATGATAGTAAATATGATCGAGGGGGACACCTCGCTCTGAGTATAAGCGTAACTGCAGATCGAAGCGGCAGCCACAGTAAAAGGGGATGCGACTTTCCACACAGATCGAATATTGATGGCAATGAAGCTTTTTCGCATCTCAATCAGTTCTGCTTGGCGACATACTTCGATGCGCTCCTCCCACTGTGTTTCTAGGGCTGAGAACTTTATCTGCCGAAGAGACTGCAAAGCTTCATTAATGGCTTTGGTTTTCTTATCTCTTGCCACTGTAAGCCGTTTCTTTGCAGCCCGCTCTTGCTTCAGAATCCTGGACTGTATTGGCACAGTGGCTATAGTGGCTAAAACTGCCACAACGGTACTCTGCCATCCTAACAGTCGGAGAAGAAATAACACAGCAAACAAAAACTTGATACATGAGAAGGGAAGTATATAGTTGACGGCCGTGAATTTGGTGAAGGACATTGTATCGGATGATATGAGATTGATTGCCTCCGGCTTGTCTCCTGTATCCTTGGAGTCTTTCGCTCTGAGGACCTTGGAAAATATTGCCATGATGAGCTGTGCACGAATAGGGATCCCCATCTCAGACCATTGTATCCACGCCAGCTGATGATGCAAGAGGGCCTCGGCTGTAGAAAAGACTGCAATGCCAATTAACCAGAGCCAAGCGGAGTTCGCTGGGCCATTATTCTCTTCCAGGAACGTTAGCAGTCGCATAACGCAGTACGGAGAGCCAAAGGTCACAACTGATCGGATCAACATCATGGTCCATTGTTTAGCGAATCCCAAAAAGCGCTCAGCAATAATACGATCCCACAATGAAGTGTTGGAAAGCGCTATCATGGGCTGAGTCTTTGATCGGGTTCCAGAATTCAGCACCGGCAGTTCTCCGAGCCCGGCATTTCCAGCAATATGAACGGCACCTATACACCATTGCATGGAATATCGTTGAAAGGCCGAGCAACTATTCTCCAAGTCCACGGGTCGTCCATTTGGAGAAAAAACGTCTGGTCGGCGTGGAAATTGAATTTGAAGAATTGCGAGAACGAACGCTGTAAAAAGCTGAAAGGAGGACGCTGAAAATATGAAGAAATGCTCAGCACTAGGCTGGACCTTCTCAAAGATCTGAGAGAGGATAATGAAAGTGCATATTAGCGACCCCCTCAGGCCAGCGGTGTATAGATTGATCGGGTTATCAGTCCAATGTAAGCGAAGACTATGCAGTAACAAAAGAGGCTAGAAAGAAACATTAGCCGCATTTCTCAAAACTCGTCCTGACTTTTTCTTTGCACTTGCCCACAGAAGTTTAGCGACTGAAATTGGCTGGTTCCAAGAGTCATTCTCTCTGCCATATTCGCCGCTCAGGGTGAAAGCGCTAAGGCCCAAAATCGACAATAGCGAGTTGAGAGAGCATAGAGCCCATATGCGATCCCAGTAGATATTCTCAGACTCCTTTGAAGCAGTACCGTCTTCGTCTGAATACATACTTCAGCGTTGAGATGTGAAGCTATCGGAGAATGATTCTTTGATAAAATAATGAACATACATTCGATTGTCAGATTGAGTATGAGTACCTAGTGTTCTTAAAGTGCAGGCAGTTGAAAACAAATGACATTTTGGGTGGAAGAGAAAGAAGAACAGGGGGAAAGGGAAAAGGGGAAAGGGGAAAGAGGGGAAGTTGTAATAATCAAAGGCTTGCGTCAGAGTGGTATTTTGGGGCGAAACTGAATCCATTGATGGCGTTTCCACTGTGATTTGGTGGTAATATTTGAAGATAAGATAGTATAATAATAAAATACAAGCCTTTTTCAAGCTAGACGGGATTAGGAAATCGTGGGGCTGTTAGATTGACTTAGTAAGTCGCCTGGGCAGTCCATGTTTTAAGTAGTCACTAGTAGTCTTGGAGAACCTGGGAAAGATCTCCAGTCAAGCAGTGATTAGTAGTATGGGTCTTTATATTTTTAGATTTAACATTTACAGTTGCGATAAAAGAATTTGTTTGAAAATATCTGATTCATTGACTATCGTTAGGGTAATTGAGATGGAACTCGATTGAGCCAGTCGTCGAATTTATCCATCAAGAAAGCAAAACATTTAAGAGATAAAAGAGATATCAGAGAAATAAGAAAAGAAAAAAAATCAAAGAAATGGAAAAAGATACCCCAACACTTGGGCCGATTCAAGTGATTGAGGTCGAGATCCAGGGGAATAGATCAAGCCAACGCAGCACGCCATGCAAAAAACTTAAAAAAGTCTGAAAAATCAAAACCGTTATGCTCATTTTGGTACCCGAAAAGGGCAAACTTAAACGCGGGGAGCAGCAGCCATGACCTCGGGGGTGGCCTGGTCGGAGTACTTCTTGAAGTTCTCGTTGAACAGGTTGGCGAGCTTGGAGACCTCGTCGACGAAGGGAGTGGAGGCGGTCCAGCTGGTCTTGGGGTTGAGCAAGCTGTCGGGAACACCGGGGCAAGACTTGGGGACGGGCAGGTTGAAGACATCGTAGGTCTCGTACTCGACAGTGGCGAGGTGACCGCTGTGGATGGAGTCGAGGATGGCACGGGTGTACTGCAGAGGGCAACGCTTGCCACCGGTGGTGGCACCGGCACCGACCCAGCCGGTGTTGAGGAGCCAGACATCGGCCTTGTGCTCCTTGATCTTGTCGGCGAGCATGTGAGCGTAGCGCATGGGGTGCAGGGCCAAGAAGGGCTGAGCGAAGCAAGAGGAGAAGGTAGCCTGGGGCTCGGTGATACCATCCTCGGTACCGGCCATCTTGGAGGTGTAACCGGAGATGAAGTGGAACATGGCCTGCTCGGGGGTGAGCTTGGAGATGGGGGGCAGGACACCGCGGGCATCACAGGTGAGCAGGATGATGTTGGAGGGGTGGCTGTCGGTCTTGCAGGGAATCTTGGCGTTCTCGATGTACTCGATGGGGTAGGCGCAACGGGTGTTCTCGGTCAGGGTAACATCATCGTAGTCGACAACACGGCTGATGGGGTCGAAGACGACGTTCTCGAGGACGGAACCGAACTTGATGGCGTTGAAAATATCGGGCTCCTTCTCGCCGGTCAAGCCAATGCACTTGGCGTAGCAACCACCCTCGATGTTGAAGACACCGGTGTCGGTCCAGCAGTGCTCGTCGTCACCGATCAGCTTACGCTTGGGGTCGGCAGACAGGGTGGTCTTTCCGGTACCGGACAGACCGAAGAAGACGGTAACATCACCGTTCTCACCCTCGTTGGCAGAGGAGTGGAGGGTGAGGACGTTGTGCTTAACGGGCATCTCGTAGAAGAGGACAGTGAAGACACCCTTCTTCATCTCACCAGCGTACTCGGTACCCAGGATAACCATCTCCTTATCGGCAAAGTTGATGGCAACGGAGGTAGCGGAGGTCATACCCTCGGTGAAGCGGTTGGCGGGGAAAGAGCCGGCGTTGTAGATAACGTAGTCAGGGTGGAAGTGCTTGAGCTCCTCAGCGGAGGGGCGGATAAGCATGTTGCGCATGAAAAGAGCGTGGTAGGCACGAGCGCAGACAACACGGACACTGATGCGGTAACGCTCGTCCCAGCCGGCGAAACCATCGATAACATAGATGCGGTTGCGAGTGTTCAGGTAGTCGACAGCACGCTCACGGTTGATGCGCCAGACCTATAGATGGGTGTATTAGTATGACGTCATTCACGTGAGATCTCGACATCGCGGGGCAAAAAAAAGTAAAACGAGGTGGCAAAGTGCAGATTTCAGAGCCAAGAGCAAACCCTTTGGGATGAAGGAAATGGGTCACAAGAGCAAGACAGCCAGATTAGACGGAATTGAAGGCTTGAATGACAGAAAAGCTTGGTCTTGGACTGCATATGCAAGGGATCCTGGGGTGGAGCCGGCGGGCCACCTGCAAGGGCAGCCCCCAACCGCATAGTCCCGGCAAATATGTAACAAGCAAATAAAATCACTCATAGCAAAAGATAAAAAAAGCCTCAAACTTACATCAGGGGTCATGGGCTTGTTGACGGGTCCCCACCAGATCTCATTCTCAGAGGACTCCTCCTGGACAATACGCTTGTCGGAGGGGGAACGGCCAGTCTTAGCACCGGAGTAGGCACTCAAAGCACCGCTGGAAGTGATAGCGGTACCGGTCTCGTAGACAAGAGCATCTTCGTACAAAGCGGGGACAGCGGGGTTGGCAATCTATAATGGGTAATTAGTATCACGTTGGTGATATCAAGTGGAGGGGGAGAGGAGATTTGCATACAATGGCAACTCGGTCGTAGTCAATGTGGGCAGTCTCGTGGAGCTCCTCCTCCAGCTCGGTGTGACCCTTGCTAGGCCTAGTGGAAGGAAAGTATGGTTAGTGATGGGTAACCAAGGGAAAGCAATGAAGAACAGAAGCGAGGGTAAATAAGGTCCGAGTTGAGGTTGGGAAACGTACTGGACACCGCCAGGGTGGAGGGCGGTCCGGTTTACAGATGTAGCAACCATTTTTCTGAGTGAAGTGGAATGATAGTTATTGTTGCGTTGCTTTGCGACTTGTTGTTGGAAGAAATCGGATTGCAATAGACCTGGAGAGCAGGGGCGGCCGGGCTCTATATAATTTCTTTCAGGCGGGGCCATGGCCTTGACGATGCGTAGTTGCGTTCTCGTGCTTTGCCCCTGTGCTTCTCCACAGTTCCACGGGTAATGTCGGGGTGGAGGGCCGAGCTGAGACGGACGGTTGACGATGGATGAAGCGTTGCCGTTGACTGCGAATACCTTAGGAGGCGCAGTCCGAGTTGACCCGAATGACTTAAAGTGGACACGAAGTGCACCCGGGGAACGGATGATGAACCGGAAAGGTAAGGAGGGGTGGTAAGAAATGATCAAGTGGATACGTTTCTTGCCAGAAGAGAGAGAAAAAAAAGCCGCAGATGTGGAGACTAGATCTAGGTATCGGTCTTTCCCTTTTTATTTCATGTATTGTAGATTTTTCTTATGAACTTGAAGGATGAAAGAGATAGAGAGTCAAGTACAATTCATAGGCTTTTTAAGTGATAGTTTTTTTTTTTCTGTTTTCTACCTAGGTTCTACCTCTGGCCGCATTCAGCTTGTGAAAATTCTCTCCAAAGTTTAGTAGAAGAACACGGACGAGAGGAATGACGCGCAATGATCTCACCAAGTAATTGTATTATTTTTTGAAGCCAAAGTTACCAAGTTTTTTCGATACAAGTTTAATCTTGTTCAGACTAGTCTCATCCGAGCAATTCGCGGGGGAAGCTGACATAAGGGGACACGGGATCGATGTTTTTTTTTTACATTTTCTTGTAATGGTATCAATGTATACGGAAGTACAATCAACTGGAATGTGACTTTCCTCTATTTTCGGCTTCCCTCTTCTCCGATTTGATTTCGGATTGCATTGGGGGAAAAAAGAAGATCATCATGAAAACTCGAAAATCGAAAAATACAATGTCAACCCGATGACGACAAAGAGACCCGGTGCCAGGTCGGAAGGAAATGTGGTTTTCTTACCATGCTCCGAGATCCTCTCCAATAACGGCGTTTAACCCAGCCGAGGATGATGTATCAACGACTTTCACCGCGGCGGCTCTGACCAATCACAAGCCGTATATTTCCACTTTTCCCATTTTCCGCAGGGATGGGTGGGGAGAAGATATTGCCGCTGGGTCTTCTAGGGTTCTGGAATTTTTCTGATAATAATCTCTCCCAATGTGCGGTGTTGACGGATCAATTAGAATCGAGGCCCTGATGGAGATCGATCGCATGCATGTTACGTGGGTTTCTCGGTCTCGGCCTAGCTCACGAATTGAGGCTTCGATCATCCCGTGAAAAGAAAAAAAAGCCCTTAAGGTCCCGAGAATGGATCCCTAGGGAATTGCATTTTTAGACCATTTTCTATTCGGTCATCACGTTGATTCTACAATCTCAGCTCTACTCCCGTACCCTGGTGG